ATATGTATTTCAACAAACCTGCTAGCCAATACAATATTGCTATGACTTCTGCACAAGGAATGTGACTGTTCCAGACAGTCGAACGTCATGGGGTATACACCATATGGCAAATTATCAAATATTTATCAAATATTTCGAACAGATAAAGTTGTTCATGTATGCAACTTCGTACGACCACATCATATAAACCAACATAGTGCTGTGCACGTCCTGACTATGAGTCGAATGTGTGTGTGTGTGTGTGTGTCTATATTCTGGTGACACAAAAACTGATACCATATCAAACGCCTGTTATTTTGAGGATATTCCATGCTGTAACTGTTTTCGTCCTTTGTTTCGTTAAAGTGATTTTGTTTGGTGATGATGTAATTCTGTTTTTTTTTGTCAGCAATATTCTAGTTGTTTGTTCTGTAAAAAGACAAAGCAGAGGTGTTGTGGCAAGGATCTACGCTGTTGGGATCCGCTCAAAAGCGGTTCATTGATTCGTATGTGGCAGTTATATCCATTGTAGCTGTGCTTATCAGCGAGGGTCCGTGGTGTGCTCTATATGTAGACTTATGCTATATTAAGACAGAGTTCTGGAATGTACCACAACCTTATGGGCCTTTCCACTAAATGGACGGTGGGGTAGCCTAGTGGTTAAAGCGTTTGCTCGTCACGCCGAAGGCCCAGGTTCGATTCCCCACATGGGTACAATGTGTGAAGCCCATTTCTAGTGTGCTCCGCCGTGATATTGCTGGAATATAGCTAAAAGCTGTGTGAAACCATACCCACTCGCTCACTTTCCACTTTCGGGAGTCCAAATATTACCATCTCTGTCTTCATGGCTGTAATCATTTTTGTATTAGTGATTTGAATCAATTTGTAAATAACAATTGCAATTGTTGATTACATCATATTGCTTTGGTTGTTGGTTTCACACAGGGCTCTCTTATGGACTCCCGGTTAACCTTTAGGTTCAGCTAGGAATCAACAGGTAACAGTATCAATACCCGACGCATTATAAGTCTAGAGACAAATTCTAATCTAAGATGCTGTGCTCACAAACTTGGACACAGGTCGAACTTGATTGAACGCACGATCACAGACTCCTGCTCAACCAAAGGGATGCAACACTGACAGCGAGTTGTGGCGCCTTAGATTACCTGGCCACACGCGTCCGTGTTTTCAGGATGCAGTCGTGACAATTTCAGAAACATGAACAAGCTTTACGTCTTCAGATAAATTCTTTTCGGTTTGACTGCAAAATGTTTTTAAACTCTGCTGTCAAATACCCGATTGACCTCGTTTCTCAACACGTGATGTCATAATGATGAAAAACACTGCTTTTGATAACCCACGCGAAACCAACGAGCAAGGGTATGGTGAGTCGAACCGTTGGTTTCTGTCAAGATTTACTGGTGGGATTCATTCTTATGCTTATGTCTTCATGACCGGCCCTGATGCACTAAGGATATACAATAGGAATCCACCCTTCATTCCTAACATCACTGTCACATTCTGTAGGACACTGTACATGTTTATCTAAAGTAGAACAGCAATATATGTCTTTATATGTTATAATTGATTAGGGCTGTTTATTTTAATTGAAATTATATTTTTGGTGCTTGTTTCCAGTAGCTATTATATAATATTATTCAGGGTCCCGATCCACAAAGCGTTCGTAACGTTACGATCAGTCGTAACTCTATAGTGTAACATAGGCTTACGAATGTCGTAGCGCAACGGACGTTTTGTGGATCGGATTCCAGGGTCATGTTCTGGAATACGCTACTGCCACTGGTGACACTTTTAATGCAATTCGCATTTTTACAGCGCAGTTCATTTATTAATTATCGTAGAATTTCTCTCGACTTATTTTTTTAAAGTTCCAATGGTAGAACACGGAGTTAGTAAACTACTGCCTTTTGAAAGCCATGCTATTCGCAAAAGGCAGCAGACAGGATCGAGTGGTCATGTTTGGTGTATACATACATTTTGCATTCACATAGATCCATGCTTACGCCGACAAGCATTGGATAGTCTTGAACAAGCTGGTTATTTAGTCACTTCTGTAGCTGGATCAATGCTGAGGCTGCAGTTAACAAACGAACGCTCAGATATATATAACGAGCGCTTCTCTCTAATAAAGAAGCGCTAATAAAATCACTTTACAGTGGCATGTATGACCATTGATGTCAATTCACTTTTGGTGAACTTCAAGGATACGTCAAAGTACATATGTACAATGAAGTTATATTATGTGTAAACTATTCACAGACATAATTCAAAACATATTACAACTCTGAAGAACTCTGACAGATTCGATCAGCAGATCAACATCTTTGCCTTCCCATACTTCTGCTGTGTTTCCCATCTCCCACCCGCCCACAAGTTTGATTTTTAACATATTACATGAAGTTGTCCATGAACCGGATTGGTGAACAACCTCTAAACAGCTGATATCAAGGCCGCTCCAGAAGAAAATATAAAAGTATACACATGAGAAATAAGGGAGATTTTGTCTCTTATACTAATTTTAATCAGGATCTGCAGCTGGAATAATGCACAGATATTGTAAAGCTGTCCTTCTAATATTTATTTTGTAATATTTCAAATCGGCCTGGTTTCTAAACGTGAATATGAATACATTTTAATAGATTTTGTGAACTATCGATGGATAGGTTTGACTTTGCCCTCAATAATGTAATGATGCATCCCGTTTTGTAAAAGTATGAAATATTTCTCAGAGTAGTTTTGCAAGTGAAGGAAAATTGTGTTTTGACAGACTTGTATCGACGGTCCAGTGACTGCAGACTGACTCCTTTGAGTGGCATTTAGAATTGGTGTGGTGATTGGTTTCATTGGTTCTCCACTTGTACAGATTCTCAACACACGTCGCGTATCAGCCAATCAAGAGCGAGTACAACTAATTGTTTATGAACAGTTAACAAGGAGACAAAGAAACAAAAGCTATTCATATCGTTCATGATCCTATACAAGCACACCCTGAACTTTAAAGTACTGTGCATGATCATCTTGGTCCGTGTATTCGCGCATCTTACGTGACTCATGTGAGAGCGGGATTTTCGTCTTAAGTTTGGGCGATTCAATATATAAGTTCACCAAACTGCGATCGTTTTGCGACAAGAACAATCGCTTCTCAGCTGATATAATGCCCAGGTTCTATCTAATCTCTTGTTTGTAACGAGTGGCATCAGCAACAATACGGTACCGTTCTTTCGTCAATCATCGTTGTTGAAGTCCTTTCATCCTTTTAATTTATATGATTTATATGAGTTCCCGCTTGCTCCTGTTGGAGAGAACTTTAACAATGATAGGTCGATTTTTATTCCCTATGTATTCGTCAAGGTTCCCTGTTCTGTGGCTTCGTTTTTCGTCGTCTATGCTTAATTTGACACCAATATCACAGGCTGATTTGCATACAGTTTGGTCTTTTTTTCATCAGTTCATCCCAAAAATAAGTATCATATTTCGTCTACTGTACTGGTAGACTTCATCAAGTTGCATATTTTGCTAACGAAGTTTCTCATTCGGTTATTTAACCTTACTCTCTAGTTCTTTTACTTTTGTTTGTATCTCGTTTAGAATTTGAAAAATATACCACCAATCAAAAGTTTAGACTCACTTAAAGCACTTATTACATGTTATGTATATATGTATGGTAACATCGAAGATGAATTTCTCCACTAACTTGGGGGAACCAACTGAAAACCATATGCAGATGAATTTCACGAGGATCATGCATCAAATTGCTGTAAAGCATGTGCAAATATCATGCATGTGAACAGCTGCGTTTTGGTGTAAAGTTTTGTTACGAATTCGTCAATTTTCACCGAGTTTCATCATTTATTGAACTCATGACAATAATATTTGCAAAGTTACAAATTTTGTTTTACAATACATCAGTTCATGTGTAAACAGTACCTTTATACAGTATGGAAAATTTTGCAAAATTTATTTTAGAACAGTTGACTTAAGTAAATGTCTACATTTACACTGGTGAGTCTAAACTTTTGATGGGGAGTATAGGTTGTCATCCATATTAGCTCTGATCTGTGGAACAATCGCACTGGCTAGAGACTGCACAGCTTTGTCCATTTCCTGGGTCGATTTAAATACTTCAATAATTTGAATAATCAAGACACGAGATTATCTGGACAATTAAAACCAGTGGCCATGATCGTTTACTGAACACGTAAGAACACCTTTGCGCACTGGCCAAGGCCAGCTATGTTTGTCTGCATCTATATTTATTAGAAAAATGGTTTCCGAACCAAAGCGACTCACTGTACTCCATATATTTATCTAAAGCGACTTCTTAAATTTACGGTTTCGTAGTCCTGATTAGATACAGCGTCTGTGAAAAACACCCGCCGATCTGGTTTAGGATGGTCATGTGTAACACATTAATAATTACGGATAGCCTCATTGCATGTTGTGTTGTCCTAACACTTGTTTAATCTTTTCGCCAATCATATGAATCATTCCGAGTGGGGTAGTAAAATTGCCTGAAGTGTCCCTAGATACGCTTGTCCGACAGTAGTTACCTCCCCTTAACTATACTTTCCTCTTGAACTATCATGTTATATGACAATGTTATACGGTTTTACCTCTTAACATGACAGAAAAATGGCGTTGTCATTCAACTACTTATCATCTGAGTTATATCAGCTTTACATGGATATGGGGCAAAATATTTATCAGGATCCACAAATACATCATGGGGTTTTCCCAATACAGATAACAGCCAAGTCGTGTCCCCATTTACTCTTTGTTACCTGTGTGTATAACAGGTCAACTCCCTTAACACGTTGGTGTGGTAGACTGGGAATTTATTCAAGCCACTGAAAACAGACCTCAGATAGATAGCATACTACATACACAATGTGCATCAAACAATAAACAAATGTTCATGAACAATATAATGCAAGTGTGCATGTGCCTCCATTATGGATCATGTGTCTAATTATATCTCCACATCACCTGTAAACGTAACACACGTCACTGCTAAAATCAGTAATTCATCAACAGTGCCCTGTACGACGTTACATTACTTGTACCTAGACCCACTATGGACGTCAGTGATGCTGTAGGAGTTTCCCCCGCCGTAACAGAAAGCCAAGCGCTTCAAGGTGGTGTCAGCTTCGATGAAATTATGGACACGGGGGCACCTGGCGAGGCTACCACGGAGAAAGAGGCCATTCAGTCTCGACTTGCGACATTTCAACACTGGACGGGAGTCACGCTTCCTTTGCAGCTTGCTGTAGCTGGATTTGCATACACGGGGGAAGTGGATAAAGTTGTGTGTACCTTCTGTGGAATAATGATGTACAACTGGACAAGTAAGGAAATACCTCTTGAGGTCCACAGAAAATATTCTCCTGATTGTCCTTTCTTGAAGAAATGGTTCCCGATGACGGAAGGGGAAAGGTCCGCAGCACCACCTGGGGAGCGAGTAGGGTATGATGCAACAAAGGCTAAACACAAGGAATATATTACCTTTGCACAGCGACTGTCTTCCTTCGTCGGCTGGCCACTTACAGGGGACATCCATTCTTCACGAAACATGTCGATGGCTGGGTTTTTCTACATTGGATCTGCAGATAGAGCGAGATGTTTCTACTGTGCCCTTACACTCAGAGATTGGGACACGAATGATGATCCCATTTTCACCCACAAACAATGGTCTCCTCAATGTGGCTATATCAATCATATTACCAGCGTCGCCGTCAAAACAAGAATACGTTCACAAGGCAACCCGTCTGGAAATCGCCTCCAACAGTCATCGAAAGCCTCTGCTGCAAACTCGTCTACAGTGACAATACCACCAGGGATTAACAGAAAAGCAGAAGGTGCATTGTCGAACCCAGGGGGCACCTGGGAACATTCGCCCTCTGTTCAAGCTTTGTTGGATTTTGGATACTCGATTAATGTGGTTCAGGAAGCTATTAAAAAGCACAAAGAAAAATATGGACATGATTTCAGGGATTCAACAGATTTGTATCGTGCCATTGAAGAAATAGAAAATTAGAATTTGTATCAGGAAATTACCAACATTAATCATTTTATGTTCGCTAGAAAATAGATTATTGGGATTATCAAATGCAGGAAACTACATTGAGAGTAAATGTACACTCTCATTATTATACTTATTCTCTTTCCTTTTACCTTACGAAATACAAATATTTTTAATGTGATGTTTGAAAGACATCGTCTGATTATGTATGCATGTGCCCGTTTATTAATCCCTTCATCAATGCAATATGTGCCAAATGCCAGTATTTGTGTTCCTAGTATTGCGTGACATTATTTGTATTGATTGTCAGTGACAGAATAATATTGAAACGCTGTCGAGTGGCCAGATTGTAACCGAAAGCGTGATTTAGTTTCCTCCCTTTGTTGTTGACAAACACGATCGTCGCCATCATCATTAGAGAAGTTTCTGGAAGGGAGAGCTCACGTTTAACGATTCATTGATATTGAGTGGTCATTTACTGACATTTTCACAGTTCAGATCAATACAAAATCTTTTTACGGTTGATATATACGTCTTTAAATTTGGAAATCACACGAATCCTTGAAACAGTTCACTGGTGCCTTAATGATCTTTTGTGTTTGGAATGGAATTTGTTCCAGGTGAACAATTGACTTGACTTAGCAAATGCTTATGACGGGTGCCACCGTTTGGGCAGGATACGCTCACCTTTTCGCGAACACCTGGTATCATCACTTTTTCATAATGATTCATAAACACATGCTCTGTCATCATATCGCATGGTGGCAATCACGGGAGTATTTGGCTCAGACTCGATTCGTTTACAAACAACATCGTACAGCTGTAATACTGCTGAAACAACATATTCTCATGATATAGCCACAGTTGTACAATCAACGCTGCTTTAAGCAGAGATTTATGGATGTGGGAAGGGTTTTGTCGCTTCTATTATGCACCGTACTTACAGTATGGACACTTATGTATCGAGGGTTGTCCACATAAACCAAGTGGTAATCGTGTAGTACCAATGTATGGCCTCACCTGACTTTGTGTGTTCAAATCAAAGTTGTTCCGACAGATAACAGCACATTTTCATTCCTGTTGGTCAAAATTAACAAGGAATAACCAAAGGTACTTCAGCTTTGGACAGGATATAGTTCTTTTTACATCCTTCAAGCTTTTTTGATATTCTTCATTTAATGATCATAACTGCACTCAGAATGTTTTCTCTGATCGTTTTTGTGTTGATGAATAAATATACCAACGATACACGAATATTTGTAATATATACATGTGTGTTTTTGTGTATGTATAAGGCCTACAGCAAAATTCTAGATTTAACTTGATGTACACTCCATTTGGTATTTCGCCTTCTTATTCGAGGACACATTCTGGTACTGTAGGGTGAGTGAAGCACCAAAACGCCATCACACAAGGTCAGCGACCTAATCCACAGAGACTTACATTTCGTTGTTGTCACAAACATTGTTTTGGATTCGGGGCAACGACCACAACAATAACCTCATTATGTCTGCTAGCCATGTGCCTGTGTGGACTGATAGCTTGACAGTTCAGTACTCTGTAACCTGGTTGATAGTGGATAATAATAGAACCAGCACATGTTTACAGCTGGAGAAATACCAGACATGGCTACAATAGGTATTACGATATCATTAGTCCGAGGTCAGTGTCAGGCGATATCGAATCCACTTATATCATTTGTTCGATTGCTTGGCTGAATAATTTTGTTGATGTTTAATATTTACCACATTCTTCTGTCCTATAATGTCACGTGTTCAGCAAGACACATACAATAATGATGCACGAGGTTTACCACACCGTAGCTGATATTTTTTCTCTGTACATGCTAATTGGTACTATTTGAATGCAGATAGTTGTTTTCATTTTGTGAGATAGTGTGGTTTATGTACTTCTAGCATATGTGACTTTACATGTTTTACCAAGTGAATCGAACACGATCCGTGGTCTTCTGGCAACTTATTATCGACTACACAACTGCCAGGAAAATATACTTGAATACTTCAGTAGAGTCAGCCATGTACATTAATATATCCTTAGCTATGCATATATGACCCTATGTATCACTTGGATATGATTACAGATTACGACACATACAACCTAACAAAACCTATGATCTGCTCGAACGGTATCCAGCTGGTCGAAGGCATCCTCCTGAGTATCGAAACAAGATCGCGGAAAATGACCGTTTCATCACAAAATATGACATCCTCATCAGCAGACACCTTTTTTTGCTGTCAATTCTTAGATATTGTTATTTTAGGTCTTCAATCGCAGTTTAGGCTTTAATGCGTCAGTATTTTTTCAGTTATCGTCGAAAAATCAATCTGTACATTTTATATGGAGTTGTTCACGTTTAGCAAACAAACTGTCCATTGCGTTGTGATTTTACTGTCCAGGAGTTGACAGTTTCTAGTTTTAACCGTCAGGTCATCAAACGTTATTCTAGAGATATTTGCTGTTTTGTTACTGCCTACCTGGCGTATTTATTACGATTTTTTTATCTTCAAGTACGATTGTACACTCTCATTGCAGTTTGTACCCTGACTGGGATTTTTTAATGGATGCAAACCTATAAAAACACATATTAATTTGTTTTAAAAAAAACATGCATTCGTTTCACTTTAGCTTTACTTGCCAGCGTAAACACGACATCAAAACGAAACTAAACAAGAGTGACCTCCCTTTCAAGTCACTTTCGCGCGTACTACCGAAAGTTAACTTATTCAAATTCGTGACCGTAATGTATGTTTATTGGATGATAGATATAGATCAAGTACTTCAGTAGATGTCGTGAAAATACAAAGTAATCTGATTGGCTGATTTCCTCGGTCTTTATCGTCGGGTTCCCTAGTATTTTCCCGGTTTCCACCCATCTTATCCGATTGCTTCCCAACCAGTGGCATCGTGGCGGAGCGTTCATCGGGCTCATATGGGCCATAGGATTCAAACATTTTACAAAATCATGTACGATCAGAAGTGTATTAACAAATATACAAATATACATCACCCCAGGAATAATCAAGACCAGGTTATTCCAAAGTATGTATATTGTTCATACTGTCATTTTCAGATATTAGTATTGCACATTCGGGTAAAGCACATCACTAAGCATCTGAAAACCAAGGGACATCTAACCAATGTTGAATGTGCGAAATCAAATACAATGACTTCCTTTGTTCCCACCGGTGGCACCAACAGCGATATGGACAAGTCAATGGCAGTTGTAAAGAAAATAAAGCAGAAATCCAAATGACACAATTAAATTTGAAAATGAACTTGCCGATTTTATCTGCAGACCTCCTTACGAAGACAGTCAAACCTGTGCTGAAGTTGATTGATAAACACCATTCTGGTATTCAGGAATGTGTCAAATTGTCTTTCTTATAAAATAAGGTTGTACACTTTTGACACAAATTTTGAGTTCACAACAGTCTCGTTTCCTGGTTACTGGGGTCCGTCCTATTGCGCAACTTAGTACAATAACCAATTCAGAAATTTAAGACCAACTCATTCAACTGGATATATAAATATTAATCAATATTATTTGATACATCTTATCACTTGTATATTAGACACTACTCCCCTTCTAATCCGTACTCTGTCGTACAACGTGATCTGACAAACGGAAATCTGGAAATCGTGGAAATCTTTGGCGGTCTTGTACGGACTTGATATTATATCAATCACATTGTATGTTACAACAATACACTTGATAAGCGCAAAGAACACATGAATTATGAAACATTTTTACGACCTCATCAAACAGGGTCAGTCTGTGACGTCTTAGCAGAGACCAAATAATAATCTATTATATGGTCTCTGGTCTTAGTTAACGTCATGCTGCCTAAACCTAGCCATAAAATATAAAAATACGATTTAATTAAAGTTTAGACTTAAAATTCATTTGTAAATACCAATTTGTTATGAAACAAGGAATTGGAATTTAGTGTAACCAGAGTTGTTTGTAGTGTCTCTTTTCACTTTCACACGAGAAAATTCAGATCGGCTGAAAAGTAGGTCAGTCTGAATTGGTTCATGAGACTCATGTTCCGGTTTGACCGCTGCCACATATGCGGCAAGTTCTACAAGTCTTCATTTGGCCTCAGACTGCATGTTAAGGGGATCCATCACGACAACTACCGTTTCCATTGCCAAGTCTCTGGAAAAGGGTATCAACAACTGTGGGATTTCAACAGTTAATGCTCTAAAATCCAGGCAACTACATGGACAGTTTCAACACAACTGTAAAATGTACAGTTTGATTTTTCGACGAAAAAAAAAAATTACCGATGCATTAAAGCCTAAACTGTGAATGAAGACCTCAAATAACTATATCTAAGAACTGACAGCAAAAACAAGTGTGTCTGCTGATGAGGATGTCATATTTCGCGTTGAAACGATCATTTTCTTTCGACACTCAGGAGGATGCCCTCGCCTAACGCGCAATTGTAATAAATATCGAGGGTGTCAAGCTATTACAGAAAGATCTGTAACTTTCTAGACCCGTCTGCCAAATGGCAAAACCTGAAATACTTGCAAAATTATGTAAATGCGAGGGAAAACTTACCATTACTCTTGCGCCACGTGTTCTTCTTTCACTGTCCAGCGAGGAAATGGAGTTGCTCTTGGGGCAACTCCACATTTCGCGTGGACAGCGCTTCCACCCTGTGAGGATGTTTGCCGTCAACACTTATCTTTGTTAATCATGAACACCAGGTATCATCACTATTTGGATAGTGATTCATAAACACGTGCTTATGTAGTCGGAATTGGAAATCGACACTGACTTAAGCGGAGATTTCTTATGGGAAAGGTTTTGTCGCTTTGATGTGCTCTAACACTGCATATTAACATATATATTTAAGATCCCCTACATTTGTAAAGAGAATATATTGTGTCTCAAACTCAAACTCCCAACTCCACCCACCCCTATCCCACCCTTAAACCCTTATGGATATATTAAGTAGTCCGCCCCCTTACATTATTATAAAACACACTGCATGGCATAGTGTAGTAAGAGACACCCCGGCTTACAGCACTTGAGTAACATTGAGACGTACATATGACCGTCTGTTTGTATACCAGGAGTGAAATCACTAACACGCCCTAGTTATCTCCAGCTGTGTGCTGAACGATTTGTGTGAAACAACGATTTTCTACTTATAAAAAAAAAGGGAGAACAAATGTTTTTGGTGAAACTCACTCACTCACACACTAACAGCGCGAAAGACCATACTCACTAATATATATATATATATATATATATACTGTGTGCGTGAAAGACCATACTCACGCACGCACGCACGCACTCTCATTCACTCACTCACTCACTCACCCACCCACCCATCCGGGCCCGGTTGTTCAAAACTCGGTTATCTTTTAACAGGCTGTTAACGTGATGTTAAGTTAACACACCTAAGGACCTCCGCTAACTTTTTAACAGTGTGGTTAACTCGCAAATGGCGTTCATGGCTAACGCTGCTTTCATGATGCCAGTTCAGCAAAGAAAGGATAGGGTGTATCGTGGACTGGACTTCGATATTGGAAATTATTCTGACGAAGAGTTACATACGAAACTGTAACTATGCACATCATAGGAACTAAAATACATGTTGTACAAGTACATGATGCCTACGTTTCATCTTTTAACACTTGTGGAAAGGTTTATATATGCTTCACTACACTAAATGTGTGAATTCCTTCTGTAAATATTATTCAAACAATAACTTTCAAAGAATATAACACGTACACCCTATACCCACGTATGATATGATATTGAACAAGGCTAAATGTAGATAATTAAATTAGTTTCATGAAAAAAATATCCGAACGATTACATTATGATACTGAAAGTGTAACCGGCGGGATATGGTGATTGTGTATACTCTTATTCTACCTTCCTTCACCTCAGAGAAATTGCCAAATACACTCCCATTTTAAGAAAGAGAAGAAGCCAGTGTCGTTATGTGTGATTTTGCGTCAGTCATGGCGTCACGCAGCACAGAAACGTGACAGTTTCGTGTAAACACATCACATTCCTGTATTGTATCTATTTTTAATTTCCTATTTCTTGCTACTATGCTCTTTCCATGCAAATGGGTGTCTGAAAATTTGAGAAAATGCTACACAGTGTAAAGTCTGAAATTTTCTTTTTTTACATTTCAAACAGGTGTTGTCTTTCGAGCACAGCATTTGTTTCCACCCCCAATATCTTTCGTTTCAGTTTATCTAGACGCTTGGTATTGGTGACAAAGACCAGTTGTAATTAGATTCTAATATGTATGAGGAATTCAGTAAGGCTGGGACGAGTAGGAAAAAATGGAATCGAGTACCCGCATGTACGTACCCGAATCGGAATCGAGTACCCGGAAATGTAAGAAATACATTCGGGTCAACTTTCTGAATATTCAATCACGATTTGACAGAGATTATTATAGAAAACTTGAAAAGTTGGTAACAAGACATTAAAACTGACCTCAAGCTATTTAAGTTACGTCTGTTTAACCAATATAGAGAGTAACACCATTACTTACATTCCTCGTTACAACAACGAACGTTTCGTTCCTGCTGCTACTGTAACTTAACTACTCACTGCTTATGCACAGATAAATTACAGTCATTAAAACTATGCTCCATTAATCGGACAATACCAATGATGTAAAAACCCGTGAATTTCCGGATTAGAATATTGATCTTCAGTAACCCATGCTTGTCGTAAGAGGCGACTAACGGGATCGGGTGGTCAGACTCGCTGACTTGGTTGACAAATGTCATCGGTTCCCAATTGGGCACATCGATGCTCATGTTGTTGATCTCTGGATTGTCTGGTCCAGACTTGATTATTTACAGATCGCCGTCATATAGCTGGAATATTGCTGAGTGCGGCGTAAAACTAAACTCACTCACTCACTCACTGATGTAAATGTGTGTTACGTCAAATATGTAAAGGACAAGCTATTGTCTGCCCTTGTCATTACAGAGCTCTCTCCCTTTCCGGATACTCGATTCCTAGAAATAGGACTCGATTCCAGCTGTACCCGACCCGGATGCGAGTACCCGAGTACCCGTCCCAGCCTTAGAATTCAGTGATTCATTTGTCGCCGCTGAATATGAAATATAAGTGATGTATAATTGGCGTTTCAATACCGGCCTTCGCGAAACGTGATTTTGTAAACACTATCCAATAGGGCGCAAAGTGCACTTGGGCGTTCGTGTGAGTGTATTTATGAAAACATCTGAACACGATTCCAGGTTTATCGGCAACGTTTCAGAATTATTAATGATTTTATGAAAAACTGATATCATTGTTAATTAATATGCTATTTTTGAAAGTCTATACTCCAAGTAATTATCTGATTTTGTTTGGATATGTCCGTCTGGCATCCCTTCCCATAGATGGATTTTAATTATATTTTTACTAATCATTTCAGCAATAGGCCTAATTTCTTTTTCATTCTTCGAATGTTTTAATTGAAGCAAATCATCTTTTAAAAATGCTATATAAATTGACGAAAACTTAGTTAGCATAAACATTGCTCTCGCAACTGATGTGTAGGAAAATAAACAAAACATTATTATGCATCTATTTCTGTTGTGAGTGATATGCAGGCCTACTTCGTAGTCACTTTGATTAAATGTTATATTTGAATATCGAAACCTTTTTGTCACAGCGAACACAACACTATCTCTTGTCATATTACACGATAATATTTGGAATTTTTAACTTATTTTATAACAATATCTGAATGCTAATGTTATACACTGATAGGTTCATAGAAGGAATACAATGGTATTTCTCTGCCGAATCGTTGCAGCGTTCTATAATACCCTTATGAAATATAATACATGTTTTCCGTCCTTGAAGACATTGAAAAGAACTATCTATGCATTAAATGGAGGTTCACCTTATTAATGAGTATCGAGGAAATTATGTTCATCTATAAATTAGACGCAGCTTCATGTTTTTCAAGACATCTTTCCGGAATATGCGTCTGTGAAGGCGTTCAGATAATGACGATATTGCACAGTATTATTAATAATAATAATAATAATTGCATTTATATAGCGCATCATTCACTGATAAATGCTCTGCGCGCTTAAGATGGAAAATGACACTTGAAAAGAAATGTTCTGAGGCCAGTCTTAAAAGATGTTAGTGACTCGCTGGTTTTGAGTTCAAGCGGTAGCGCGTTCCACTTCATTGCTGCATTGAAAGCGAACGACCTTTTGCCAAAGTTGGTTTTGATGTTAGGCACTATCACTAGCATTTGGTTTTGTGATCTCAGTGAGCGTGTGGGCTGATACAGGGGCAGTAACTCTGCGAGGTAGTCAGGGGCCATTCCGTTGAGACACTTGTACGTCATTACAATAGTTTTGTAGTCAATTCTTCCGGTGATTGGTAGCCAGTGTAAATCATTTAGAATTGGAGTAATGTGATCGAAGACTTTAGACTTTGTAATGATTCTTGCAGCAGTGTTTTGGAGGGCTTGAAGGCGACGTAGCTGATCTTTGTTGACGTTGGTGAGGAGGCTGTTGCAGTAATCTACTCGGGACATGAACATTTTCATGAGATTCCTGTCAACAGTAAGGTCGGATAATAGATCGATTTTATTCAGCAGTGTTGGCCCTGGGGCCTATAGTACAATTACCTTTTGAATACTTGCACGTGGTGCTAGTAACATATTAAGTTTCTATTGGCATTAAATGCATGTTTCAGGTAAAAGCTAATGGTATTAATTTCACAACATCTATATTGTTTGATGTTAAAAGATTTGGCAATGTGTGTTCATACATTACAATTTTTGACAGACTTGGCAAATAATTAATAAATGATATTGATAGCATCTTCACGACTTGGCCATACAGTAATGACAATTTAAGGAGTGAAAAGTGAGCGATAGGTCTTGTGGGAATTCAAAGATTCATTAAGACTGTAGCCGTCTAAGCGTAACTCTGTGTGTAATATTTATACATTTTCTATCCACGGACAACATACTTCTAATATTAATATTGTTTTCATGGATTCATCATATTTTATCTATAGCTGTGCTATAGTTTTCATTAAAATATCTTTTCTGTTGTTGGAATTGAAGTAAGTCCCACACAGAGCTGGGATCATATGTCTTTGAAATATAAATTATGCAAACGGCTGGAACCTTGTGTTCCAATTGAAAACGTTGGTAGCGCTACGACATTCGCATGCCTATGATAAATTATAGAGTTGGCCTCAACCATTAACTGGATTACATTCTCTTCGTCAGCAGAGAAATTTCGACTTCTCTTTTTCCTTGGGGTGCAGGCGACATTTTGCGTTTCCATTTTTGGTAAACCGGAAGTAAACAGAAAACGGAATTATGGGATATATGGAAGCTAACCAGTGACGTTAACCACATTGTTAAACTTTGACGGCGACGTTAGCTAACGGCATGACTAACAATGTTTTGAACAACGCATATTTAACGTTCAGTTACCTAACGGCCGGTTAAGGATTTAACCGGCCGTTAGGAGTTAACCGGCGGTTAAGATAACCGAGTATTGAACAACCGGGCCCTGGTTGATTAATATAAATAACGTAAACCATCATCATTATCCTTGCGCTGCTTCACATTGCGCTGCTTCACATTACCTATCAACACAAGTGATGACGTGCATGTTGTCTTCAGCAACACTCACAATCAAGTCATCATTGGTAGGGATTGGGGGACCATATATACGCTTTCGCGTAAAATTGAAATGTAATGAGTTGATATTGGATCCTGAATGAGAATTCTTACATGCTCAAAAACCGATAACGATGCGATCTGTATGACAAGGGATGGCTTCCAAGGTCTGCAGTTTTTTTCCATGCTTGCAGACTATAATTTGAAGTAAATGCAGACACAGCATCCCTCTACAGGCATCAAAGTAACGGTTATTCTTTGTTGATGCCAATACACATATTGGTTTAGATGCTCAAATGTCCCATACTCTAATAGTTGTCCACGTTAATGGGATGATGCTCTTTCCATTTGTCACTTCCAGGCACGGAACGTTTCAGCTACCACTCATGATGAACATGTTTTCCAGCAACTAAAACATTTAAACGTCGTCCGATTACATTGTGAAGACACATGAGATGGAAGAAAAACGATTTGAATGAACTTTATGTTTTAAAATTTGATTTTAGAGCTTACTTTATTGAATCAAACTATGATTACCTGAAAATGATTGTGTGGATGCATTTCACAAGACTTAGTTAAAGTAAACGTTTGAACATAAGCGTGTAAGCTGTTACAGTACTGGAGCATTCTGAGCATTTTGGTTATGACAGAGCCTGTCAGTTTAATGTAAGAGAAAAGCCTTTAGTAACTCAGCCCTCACTTTACCACTTTAGTAAAACGTAATCAAATATACCACCTGCACGAGCACAAGGACGACGCTGATCGATACAGGGATCGTAATCTCCATCTGTTGGCGCTGAGAGATAAAGATCCAGACTTATACGACCTTTCACTATGTTCATCCACTATTTATGCTCTTGACATATGTCTAATGTCAGTGTTGGTTTATTTGTTTACCATATAACTAATACTTCTGTAAAGGTTTTCAACGACAAAAACACTGAAGACGAATGGACAGTTATTTTGGGGCTATAGTTTGCTGCCACTTTATGAATGCCTGTTGAGAGTTATCGATTGTTCGGTGACTGCCTACAAATGCATCGTATGAATCCCTTCTAATGTCTTTCTTTTGCGCGAGCAGAATGTCATACACACTAATATGTAAACCCCATATCTTTACACGGAGCAAGCCATTCGGCGAAACATGACAGGTACAATGTCAGAAACATAATTACTTCCCACATGAAACCATTCCTAGCTGGTCTGAATGCCAGTCTGTCTCTAGCTCAACAGAAACAAACATGGCGAGACGTGTTAGAGCACAGCAACAAGGAACTCAAGGTGAGTGTTATTATGATAATTATGAATATTAGTATTAGTTTTAAGGGTTTCATGCGGCCCTGCTTATAAGCCAGAAGAACCAGTTAGTCAACAGTCCTTTCTTATGCTTTACCGGATGTTAACACTTAATCAAAAGTGCTGAATGTATTGAAGTTAGTTTTCTATAGGACATTTTATCTAAAATATAGGGATATTAAGAGTTATGACAAAACACCGTATCTTGCTTTTACTTATGTGATATGTTTCGGTTATAACCTTAAGGTAAGACATTCCGTATCTATACAATGTAATGAATAGATGTAGTTTACACCGCGGACTCTACCGGAGACCAATTACTCGAATAATGTGATATGACATTGCCTAATGACATTAGGTGAGTTTGTGCACGTACGGAAATGAATAGAATGAGCAAATTCGTCTTGATGTTGACCCTTGAGGCGATCTTCCACAGTTCCGTAACACAATACTGAGATACACGCTGTAGCATTGTTGAATGCCATATGATTCAGAAGATTCTCAGATCGAGGGACACGTATCTTTTGCTTGTGGACAACAGATAAGATACTTAACGATATTTAATCAGCTTCCATACTTGTGTTAGGATGATGATAACATATAAGGTAGAAGTTTTAATTCTGAAAAGGACAGTAGTTCCTCTCTTTGGGATTAAAGGGGTTGAGTGATACCTCCATAAATAACATAATGCTCTTCCTGGTTAGAACGCCGAATGCTAACTCCGTGAGATTAGTTCACAACAAAGACCTAATCGTGGCGTTTAAACCATAATATCTCTGCAGATCCAGCTAACACCTGTCACAACCTCTGTCCGTGAAAGTCCACGCAAGCCAAGCCTTCAATCTCCTGTCGGGAGGAATATCTGGCATTGCTGGTCTGATTGGCTTGCGGTCAGGAGTTCAAAATGATGGTGTTAACACAGCTATTCATTTCAGCCATATTCAGTTATTTGCTAGTTAATGTGTATACAGATACTACTTGGATGATCAAACTGCTTTAAAGTAACTACAAGCTTTGTTTTGATTCACGATACACAAACACTCTTATAAGCTTCTAAGTAGCAATAAACACTTCGAAAGCAGAAGTCTACATCACTGACGGCAATAAGCAAACCATAGGTAAAATTGTATTGATCTTCAGTCCCTTCGGTGTCACGAGGGCGCGTCAACATTCCCAGACCACGAGACATTCCTACTGTGCATTAACCCATTGTAATTTACAGTGAAGATGTATTGGAATTAAGATGTATTATTTGAACAAAAATATATACTCGACATCTGTTACTTCCATGCTAACACGGGCGGTGGTGTAACCTATAGAGTGGTTAAAGCGTTCGCTCGCCATGCCGAAGACTCGGGTTAATTCCCCACATGGGTACAATCTGTGAAGCACATTCCTGGTGTTCCCCGCCGTGATAGTGCTGGAATATTGCTAAATGCGGAGTAAAACCAAACTCTCTCACTCCATGCTAAAATGTTTAGATGTACAGTAAACCACCGTTTAACATAATGTCATATTTGGGATTACACCTAATCGACAGCACACAAAGTCAGCCACCTAACCCGCTCAGCCACCGCGACTTCCACGTTGGCTGAGCGTGTTAGGTGGCTGACTTTGTGTGCTGGCGATTAGGTGCCTGACTCTCAGGGTGTGGGTTCGAATCCCGGATGAGACTCAAACCCAAAAAAGTACAAGAATCTGTGTACCTTACTAAGAAAGTGTATTCCCAAATATAACATATGTTACATTTGACCACTTTCTAAATGGCATTGTGTAATCATGACTCAACGTTTAGTTGCAACCGTAGTTCGTTATGCGTATTTCGACTAAAATATATAACAATTGGCCGCGGAGACAAAATTCAGTTCGTTATATCGCCCAGTTCGTAGTTATATAACGTTCGTTATAAACGTGGTTCACAGTAACTGGTCACCGAGGACATATGGGTGGGTTCAATGCCGTTGTATATTGATTTTGTATCTTACAGCTCCTGCTCCATATTGTGCTTCCAGTCGCTTTGGGATATCCTTAATTTGTTTCCTGGGATTTGTCAACATGTACACTCTGAGATTCACTATTGAACCAAACAGCTGTGATGTCAAAAATACCACAGACTCGACTAACCTATCAACTGTAACGAATGAGGATACCGGTTGCCTCGGATCACACATGTGCAAGGTATATGACAAAACATGTGCGTGCGTGTGCGCGTGTGTGTGTGCGTGTTTGTGTGTGCGTGTGTGCGTGCGCATGTGCATGTGCGTATGCGTCTGTGTGGTGGATGCGTTTATAACCCCTGTAATCATGGTATGGAATGTATAGGAAAATCATGTCAACATCATCAAGCAGCATCAGCACAGAAGGCATCACTAAAAAAATAAAGGCCAGAAATGCTTGGAAAATGATTTTTGGCTTCAATATCAATATGAAGAATTTGACACAAGATAAAAGCACATACATGATACATGTACGACACTACCTAGTTGGATATTAAAGCTCAGATGAAAAAATGCACTTGAGGGGTGACTTCAGAGGAGGAAAGTTTGACGTTTTAACAACATTCTTAATATTCTAAGTACAACCTGTAGTTTTGAAATACAGACTATAATTATTCATATAGCCTCAACTAATTAAATTACATAAATGATTGTAAAATGTTGGGTTTTTTAACATCTATATGTGAAAACGATGGAACTCTTGTAGTAGTTATATTCAGAATAATTACGTAAAAAAGTCTTAATTCAAATCGCATAGATAATCTTGTTCACCCATAGAAGTTTCACTTCGTGTATGAGCATTGAACTGGAAACATGCGACTTGATATCTCTGCAGAACAATTAATTTCAAATTTATAACATTATTTCATACTGGAGAAACAAAGGGAAACCTCTCGTCAGCTATGACAGGGTTTACTATAGAATGTGTAAAGCCCCTAATTTGAGATATAGTCAGGTTTACAAAGTTGTAAACAAATCAGTTACCTCAGGGGTCGTGTCAAAATCAAAACCAGGTAGGAAACACAAATTGGATAGCTTTGATAAGGGTGTCATACGCCGTGCAGTTTATAAACTGTATGAACGCAAAATCCTACCAACGGTTGCTAAAATACAAGATGAGATCAAAGATGCAATAAATGTCTCGAAAACAACACTTATTGTAGCTCTGGTAGAAATGGGGTTCAGGTACACCAAAAGGGGAGATGTCAGAGCTGTGTTTAGAGAAAAGTACTCAATCCTGTCCATGCGATCAGCTTATCTCAGAACAGTTGAATAATACGGCAATTTGGGGTTTCAAATTATATACCTTGATGAAACCTGGTGTTGCAGCCATGAAATAGTGGTGCTCCGTACGCGTAATTAACCACAGGCTACGGGTTGTGAGATCTTGTATTCCGTAGTGGAAGAAGGAGAAGTAGTAGAAGTAGACACTCTGTAACGATAATAGTTATACAATGAAGACTTCGGAAACAATGCTTAGACATATTTTCTGGATTGGTCTTAAAATGGCCAACTCCAAAGACTGGTTAGACACGCATATACAACTTTTTATTGTCTCCCCGGCGTTAACATAGCTGGCATGATACTCTAAACGAGAGATAAAACTATTGTAAATATCTCACGTATTCTAACAGCTACTTTGTTACCTTTATTTGTTTACAGTATGGAGAAGGGACACAACGGTTGCTGGGCAACTTTCTGCTGTGGGGTGACGTCATCACTCAGCTGCCCAGTGGCGTGCTGGCTTGGAAGTATGGCGGAAAGAGCGTTTTGTGCACGTGCATGTTTATTTCAGCGCTTGTGACGCTGCTGACACCTTTATCATTTGAGACAAACAAGGAACTGGCCATAACATCTAGGTTCATACTCGGACTGAGTCAGGTGAGATTTGACTGGCATGCATGTGTCTATGCGTGTGAGTGCGTGCGTGTCCATATGGACTGTATATCTTCAGCTATAAAAGTCCAAACCTATGTTATAATTTGATTATGTAGCAGGTACAAAGGATTTCCATGTTTAAGTGCTTGATTGTCTCATTGTATTATTAGTGAGCCTTGTGTGGGCTTGAATAAGAACGACTTGGTTTATTACAAACACAGGGAGCCACATGGCCAGCTATACAGACTATCCTGGCTAGATGGTCACCTCCCCAAGAAGCAGGTAGACTCGCAGGACTGGCTTACAGTGGTGAGTAGGGGCATGTTTACAGATTCTGATGGCTAGATGGTCACCTCCTCAAGAAGCCGGTAGACTTGCAGGACTGGCTTACAGTGGTGAGTAGGGCATGTATACAGATTCTGATGGCTAGATGGTCACCTCCTCAAGAAGCCGGTAGACTTGCAGGACTGGCTTTCAGTGGTGAGTAGGTGAATGTATATAGACAGTCAGGGCTAGATGGTCACCTCCTCAAGAAGCCGGTAGACTTGCAGGACTGGCTTACAGTGGTGAGTAGGTGCATGTATATAGATTCTGATGGCTAGATGGTCACCTCCCCAAGAAGCCGGTAGACTTGCAGGACTGGCTTACAGTGGTGAGTAGCATGTATCTACGAGATTCTGATGGCTAAATGGTCACCTCCTCAAGAAGCCGGTAGACTTGTAGGACTGGCTTACAGTGGTGAGTAGATGCATGTATACAGATTCTGATGGCTAGATGGTCACCTCCCCAAGAAGCCGGTAGACTCGCAGGACTGGCTTTCAGTGGTGAGTAGGTACATGTATACAGATTCTGATGGCTAGATGGTCACCTCCTCAAAAAGCCGGTAGACTTGCAGTACTGTCTTAGAGTGGTGAGTAGGTGTATGTATATAGATTCTGATGGCTAGATGGTCACCTCCTCAAGAGAGCCGGTAGAAGGACTGGCTTACAGTGGTGAGACATGTATACAGGATGGCTAGATGGTCACCCCCTACAGTGGTGGACTGGCTTACAGGGTGAGTAGAGGCATGTATACAGATTCTGATGCTAAATGGTCACCTCCTCAAGAAGCCGGTAGACTCGCAGGACTGGCTTACAGTGGTGAGTAGAGGCATGTATACAGATTCTGATGGCTAGATGGTCACCTCCTCAAGGAAGCCGGTAGACTTGCAGGACTGGCTTACAGTGGTGAGTAGGTGAATGTATATAGACAGTCCGGGCTAGATGGTCACCTCCTCAAGAAGCCGGTAGACTCGCAGGACTGGCTTAAAGTGGTGAGTAGAGGCATGTATACAGATTCTGATGGCTAGATGGTCACCTCCTCAAGAAGCCGGTAGACTCGCAGGACTGGCTTACAGTGGTGAGTAGGGGCATGTATACAGATTCTGATGGCTAGATGGTCACCTCCCAAGAAGCCGGTAGACTCGCAGGACTGACTTACAGTGGTGAGTAGGGGCATGTTTACAGATTCTGATGGCTAGATGATGGTGTATACAGATTCATGGTCACCTCCTCAAGAAGCCGGTAGACTCGCAGGACTGGCTTATAGTGGTGAGTAGAGGCCCTCCTCAAGAAGCCGATAGACTGGCAGGACTGGCTTACAGTGGTGAGTAGGGGCATGTATACAGATTCTGATGGCTAGATGGTCACCTCCTCAAGAAGCCGATAGACTGGCATGACTGGCTTACAGTGGTGAGTAGAGGCATGTATACAGATTCTGATGGCTAGGTGGTCACCTCCTCAAGAACCCGGAAGACTCGCAGGACTGGCTTACAGTGGTGAGTAGGTGCATGTACACAGATTCTGATGGCTAGATGGTCACCGCCCCAAGAAGCCGGTAGACTTGCAGGACTGGCTTTCAGTGGTGAGTAGGTGCATGTATACAGATTCTGATGGCTAAATGGTCACCTCCTCAAGAAGCCGGTAGACTTGCAGGACTGGCTTACAGTGGTGAGTAGATGCATGTATACAGATTCTGATGGCTAGATGGTCACCTCCCCAAGAAGCCGGTAGACTCGCAGGACTGGCTTTCAGTGGTGGTAGGTACATGTATACAGATTCCGATGGCTAGATGGTCTCCTCAAGAGCCGGTAGACTTGCAGGACCTGGCTTACAGTGGTGAGTAGGTGCATGTATACAGATTCCTGGCTAGATGGTCACCCCCCTGAAGCCGGTAGACTCGCAGGACTGGCTTACAGTGGTGAGTAGGTGCATGTACACAGATTCTGATGGCTAGATGGTCACCGCCCCAAGAAGCCGGTAGACTTGCAGGACTGGCTTTCAGTGGTGAGTAGGTGCATGTATACAGATTCTGATGGCTAAATGGTCACCTCCTCAAGAAGCCGGTAGACTTGCAGGACTGGCTTACAGTGGTGAGTAGATGCATGTATACAGATTCTGATGGCTAGATGGTCACCTCCCCAAGAAGCCGGTAGACTCGCAGGACTGGCTTTCAGTGGTGAGTAGGTACATGTATACAGATTCTGATGGCTAGATGGTCACCTCCTCAAAAAGCCGGTAGACTTGCAGTACTGTCTTATAGTGGTGAGTAGGTGTATGTATATAGATTCTGATGGCTAGATGGTCACCTCCTCAAGAAGCCGGTAGACTTGCAGTACTGGCTTACAGTGGTGAGTAGGTGCATGTATACAGATTCTGATGGCTAGATGGTCACCCCCCCCTAGAAGCCGGTAGACTCGCAGGACTGGCTTACAGTGGTGAGTAGAGGCATGTATACAGATTCTGATGCTAAATGGTCACGTCCTCAAGAAGCCGGTAGACTCGCAGGACTGGCTTACAGTGGTGAGTAGAGGCATGTATACAGATTCTGATGGCTAGATGGTCACCTCCTCAGGAAGCCGGTAGACTTGCAGGACTGGCTTACAGTGGTGAGTAGGTGAATGTATATAGACAGTCCGGGCTAGATGGTCACCTCCTCAAGAAGCCGGTAGACTTGCAGGACTGGCTTAAAGTGGTGAGTAGAGGCATGTATACAGATTCTGATGGCTAGATGGTCACCTCCTCAAGAAGCCGGTAGACTGGCAGGACTGGCTTACAGTGGTGAGTAGGGGCATGTATACAGATTCTGATGGCTAGATGGTCACCTCCTCAAGAACCCGGAAGACTCGCAGGACTGGCTTACAGTGGTGAGTAGGGGCATGTACACAGATTCTGATGGCTAGATGGTCACCTCCCCAAGAAGCCGGTAGACTTGCAGGACTGGCTTGCAGTGGTGACTAAGTGCATGTATACAGATTCTGATGGCTAGATGGTCACCTCCTCAAGAAGCCGGTGGACTCGCAGGACTGGCTTACAGTGGTGAATAGGTGAATGTATATAGACAGTCCGGGCTAGATGGTCACCTCCTCAAGAAGCCGGTAGACTCGCAGGACTGGCTTACAGTGACGAGTAGAGACATGTATACAGATTCTGATGGTTAGATGGTCACCTCCCCTAGAAGCCGGTAGACTCGCAGGACTGGCTTAAAGTGGTGAGTAGAGGCATGTATACAGATTCTGATGGCTAGATGGTCACCTCCTCAAGAAGCCGGTAGACTCGCAGGACTGGCTTACAGTGGTGAGTAGAGGCATGTATACAGATTCTGATGGCTAGATGGTCACCTCCTCAAGAAGCCGGTGGACTCGCAGGACTGGCTTACAGTGGTGAATAGAGGCCCTCCTCAAGAAGCCGATAGACTGGCATGACTGGCTTACAGTGGTGAGTAGAGGCATGTATACAGATTCTGATGGCTAGGTGGTCACCTCCTCAAGAAGCCGGTAGACTCGCAGGACTGGCTTACAATGACGAGTAGAGACATGTATACAGATTCTGATGGCTAGATGGTCACCTCCCCAAGAAGCCGGTAGACTCGCAGGGACTGGCTTTCAGTGGTGATAGTGGTGCATACAGATTCTGATGGCTAGATGGTCACCTCCTCAAGAAGCCGGTAGACTTGCAGGACTGGCTTACAGTGGTGAGTAGGTGAATGTATATAGACAGTCCGGGCTAGATGGTCACCTCCTCAAGAAGCCGGTAGACTCGCAGGACTGGCTTACAGTGACGAGTAGAGACATGTATACAGATTCTGATGGCTAGATGGTCACCTCCCCTAGAAGCCGGTAGACTCGCAGGACTGGCTTAAAGTGGTGAGTAGAGGCATGTATACAGATTCTGATGGCTAGATGGTCACCTCCTCAAGAAGCCGGTAGACTCGCAGGACTGGCTTACAGTGGTGAGTAGAGGCATGTATACAGATTCTGATGGCTAGATGGTCACCTCCTCAAGAAGCCGGTGGACTCGCAGGACTGGCTTACAGTGGTGAATAGAGGCCCTCCTCAAGAAGCCGATAGACTGGCATGACTGGCTTACAGTGGTGAGTAGAGGCATGTATACAGATTCTGATGGCTAGGTGGTCACCTCCTCAAGAAGCCGGTAGACTCGCAGGACTGGCTTACAGTGACGAGTAGAGACATGTATACAGATTCTGATGGCTAGATGGTCACCTCCCCAAGAAGCCGGTAGACTCGCAGGACTGGCTTTCAGTGGTGAGTAGGTGCATGTATACAGATTCTGATGGCTAGATGGTCACCTCCTCAAGAAGCCGGTAGACTTGCAGGACTGGCTTACAGTGGTGAGTAGGTGAATGTATATAGAAAGTCCGGGCTAGATGGTCACCTCCTCAAGAAGCCGGTAGACTCGCAGGACTGGCTTACAGTGACGAGTAGAGACATGTATACAGATTCTGATGGCTAGATGGTCACCTCCTCAAGAAGCCGGTAGACTCGCAGGACTGGCTTAAAGTGGTGAGTAGAGGCATGTATACAGATTCTGATGGCTAGATGGTCACCTCCTCAAGAAGCCGATAGACTGGCAGGACTGGCTTACAGTGGTGAGTAGAGGCATGTATACAGATTCTGATGGCTAGATGGTCACCTCCTCAAGAAGCCGGTAGACTCGCAGGACTGGCTTACAGTGGTGAGTAGAGGCCCTCCTCAAAAGGCTTGACAGTGGTGAGTAGAGGCATGTATACAGATTCTGATGGCTAAGAGTGGTCACCTCCTCAAGAAGCCGGTAGACTCGCAGCACTGGCTTACAGTGGTGAGTAGAGGCATGTATATCGACATTGCTGGATAGTCGCCTCTTCAAGGAGCCGAGAGACTTGTAGGACTGGCTTATAGTGGTGAGTAGGTGTATGTATATAGACAGTCCGGGCTAGATGGTCACCTCTTCAAGGAGCCGGAAGACTTGTAGGACTGGCCTATAGTGGTGAGTAGGTGAATTTATATAGCCAGTCCGGGCTAGATGGTCGCCTCTTCAAGGAGCCGGGAGACTTGTAGGACTGGCTTATAGTGGTGAGTAGGTGTATGTATATAGCCAGTCCGGGCTAGATGGTCGCCTCTTCAAGGAGCCGGGAGACTTGTAGGACTGGCTTATAGTGGTGAGTAGGTGTATGTATATAGCCAGTCCGGGCTAGATGGTCGCCTCTTCAAGGAGCCGGTAGACTTGTAGGACTGGGTTATAGTGGTGAGTAGGTGTATGTATATAGACAGTCCGGGCTAGATGGTCGCCTCTTCAAGGAGCCGGGAGACCTGTAGGACTGGCTTATAGTGGTGAGTAGGTGTATGTAACAGATACTTCTGACCTAAGAACCAGTAGACCCACAGGAGTGTCTAAAAGCAACAGTTGTTTTTCACTTTGTACATTTCGTGTAATAATTTGTTTAATATACTTTATTTGATTCCACTTTTGTAAAAGGTATCTGAATTCTCTAGATCAAAGTCAAAGTTTGTTGATGCTGCATCAAGTTCAACACTTAAAGTATCGTGCATTTGATGCAATAAATCTACTTTCAAGGTTCGCAAATTGGCGCCATTGGGTCAATGTTCATCACTCTGTTCTGCAAGCACTGGTGTGGAGGTTCTTGGCCCAGTTTATTCTATATTCAAGGTAAACAATGTATCAAGATGTATAATAGATATTGCTGTCAGCTGTATATGTAATTTCATATTGACAGACAGACAGACAGACAGACAGACAGTATATATATTTCAGTATATAAGGCCATGGCTCACATTACAGAATAATTTCACATTTTATTTGATGCTGGTAAACCAGTTAAAGTCATACATTATTGCCTTTGTAAACTATGGAAACATTTTTGCACAATGTACAGGCATAATATACCCTTCTTAAGATAACATGTGGATCTTATGTAAGCTTTTATCAGAAAAACTTATCAATACTTATCAAGACATCATCCTTACATGACACAAGTCTGACAAAACTATCCTTACACGGCTTACCAATATATAGGCATGGTGGAAATCATTCAATGTTATGCATCTTTTAAACATTGACAATTAAATGGTATTCGTCTTCAACTACTGATATGCCTTTGCTATGGCAATATAAACAGTGTCTATTACAGTACAGTGTATTATGCCTCCATGTTACAGTTGGAGGTTGGAAGTTATTATATCTGGACTGGCTTAAAACATGTTTATAATACTGTAGAACATATCTTAGGAAAAATATCTTTCAATTTGCACAATTGTCTCAAAGTGACAGTATGTTGTAACAATCATACAATTTTGCTTTGTAGAGTGTCTGACATTTTTGCACAATGTATAGGCATAATATATCTAAGAAATAACATATGGATCTTAATGTGCAGAATATTGACTGAAATGTATGCATTTCTAATTTTACGAGCCTTCATCAGAAACTTAGCAATACTTATCAAAACATTTTCATCCTTACATGACATAAGTCTTGCAAAACTTTCCCTACACGGGTTTCTAATATAGGTATGGTGGAAACATTTAATTCGTGCATCTTTATAGCGTTGACAAACCATCAATAGGTGGTATTCATCTTCAACTAATGACATGCCTTTGCTATGACAATATAAACAAAGTCTATTACAGTACAGTGTATTATTATGCCTCCCTGTTTCAGTTGCAAGTTTGAAGTTATTACATCTGAACTGGCTTAAAACATGTTTGCAATACCATGGAATGTCTAAGGACAGATATCTTTCAACTTGCAACATTGTCTTAAATTGACAGTATGTCTGACATTTGCTCAAAAGTGAAACAGTTTGGTTTAGTACCTCTGTGGCACGTCCCTCTGTGGCCTATGAGATTTTGATTGATCTGGATGAAATTTCCCTCTGTGGCCAAGGTCGTTTTGTTTGTCCCTGAGTGGCACATGTGTGCAGTAATCCATGACTGATAAGGTGTTAGGTCATTAACACGGTATCTGATTGACCTTGATTGGCAGATTGATAGCATTAAATGAGAGGTTGTTACGAAAACACATAAGAAATCCCAACTCCAGGTAAGAATGTAAGTCAAAAGTCTCCCATTTCGTCTGAAGAAGCTCGATACGTCTGTAGTAGGTGGAACCTTTCTTGTCATGGAACAAACAGAATAGTTCAGGTATATGAGTGGCATGAGGCATGTGTAAGTGGATTATATACAACTGGTAAAACAGTCTTGGGCAAATTTTGAATTTTCCATCCATTAGTACACTTGAACTGCTATATAGTTTCTTGAGGTTTTCCACAATTTCAAACACAACGATGCGACTGTCGCCACATTCACCCAATGCCATAACATTACATGTATATTTATTCAGCATCAATACCCTCTTGCATAACTGTGTTTGTACTCTTTCAATAATTTGTGAATAATGAACACCCCATACCTCTGCTCCATAAGTAACTATAGCTAAAATCATTGTGTCAAAAACTATAAATACATCAGTACAAGAGTCTAATCCATATTTATATTGGTAACCATAGAATGACATTAAAGCTTTATTTGCCTGAGATGCTAAACAACTCTGTGCCCTAGTCCATGATAGAGTAGGAGTAAACACAACACCAAGATATCTATAATTGTTAACAGTCTCTATTCTGCTGCCCTTATAGTACCAATTTTCATAGGATCTGAGAGGTCCACCTCTACGAAACACCATGATTTTAGTTTTGCTTATGTTTACCCTTGATTTGCTATCACATGACTGTAATATTTGTACAACAAATATATCTTACAATATTAAAAAAAGGTAAACAATGTATCAAACATGGCCACATAATATAATGTGTTTATATGCTTCTAAAAGTGAAATGAATTTGCACATTAAACATGGTTTGCCTGAATTAACACTGCAGGGTTGGACCTTAGTCAGCCAGTCTTCGCTGAACGCGACAACAGGCACACAAACACATACACACGCACGCAACACATAGCTCAACTTATTGATGTAATGTTTGAAGTGGGGGAGGCCTAACTGACCCATTCACGTACTTAGCTTCAAATCATGTTGTCACGATAAAATGTGATTGTTCTTATGTCGGGAATCGAACCCGGGTTATGAACGGTGGTTCAGTAATGTTACAAGCTCGGTTAAATATTCCAGGAAATTTAAGCTTGCTGGTGGTAATAATCTGCATAGTATTGGTCACTGATACTCCATCCGTTAACACCCGAATATCCGTTGAAGAGAAGGAATTCATTACCGGAAGTCAGAGGAATCGGGGATTGTGTCCAGTAAAGGTATGTCAGCGTCAGTCTTTGACAGCATGTATAACCATGCAACGTCATTCAGTTACAGTAAAGCAGATAAAAAACAATTAATCTCTAATAACGGATCTGCCTTCCAGTTGGGAGGAAAACATACAAGGATTCTACCATGATAAAACGTAATCGAATAATTTGGTGTTATTCAAAACAAGATTGTCTGTGTGATTAAATGATAATTGAGAAGTACTTTTCTATAGTTACTGTGAACATGCTTTCGTAAAACCACCTGTGATTTCCATTGACGAGAATCGTGTATTTTCCAAATTCATGGTAGATGAACTTGTGACTTTTAGTCCAGAATAGTTGTGTTCATTTATGGCAACACAGGTCCTTAAAAAGTCTACTTTGCTGACTGTTTTCAGGATGGTGATACGGTCCCTTGGCGTGGTATGATGACGTCATTTCCTCTGTGGGCCATTCTAGTGAGCCACACTTGTGGAGCTTTTGGGAGTTACGTATATCTGTCTTGTACATCTGCCTACATACAGCGTGTCATCACTGATAACACAAACAAGGTACGTGTACATATATTTCTACACAATTGTCTTTTATACAAAAACAGTGGCATATAATTCTCTAGGCTGAGGTAGGGTATTGGCGGTCTGAGGTAGGGATTGTCAACGAAGTGGAGGTACGTGGACTAGGGCTGGGGCGAAATTAAGATAGAGTATGGGCAATCGTGGGCTATTTGTTGGTGAGGTGGGTGTAGGGTGATCGCGGGGAGAAGTAGTGGCCTGGCATGTCGCATACTGCTGTACAGAGCTTCCAGCTTGTTCCATGATTTACTTGTTGAGGTTCGAATCCAGACTTGGTTATCATCCCTGGTTCGTCATCTTTAGATCCGAACTAGTCAGCTTTAGACTTTCGTTTAATACGTGCGTCACTTTGTGACTGCCTTTTACATTGCCTGAACTTAAACTGTTCTCAAATACATTTCAACTACTTTCTTCATTACATATCTTGTAACAATAGTTATATCACACAATATCTAATCGGCTACCTAACAAAGGTTCATCGAGACGCGTTCATACTAGCAATCAAAATCATGTCTTTGATTATGTTCGTTTTTCTCCAGAACATCTTGCAAGCCACTCCGCATTTGGGAATGTTCGTGGTCATTTTGTTGACCGGACACATTACTGATCATATCCGCTCCACCGACAACCTGTCGACCACATCTATCAGGAAAATATTCAACTCTATAGGTTAGTTTGTTCGCTTTCACAAGTTCATTACAGCTGCATACAGCTGCATACAGCACAATACATGCTGCATGCAGGTCACTATCGTGGTCTGCCTGTCATAGTTCAATATCAAGGTATACAATATCATGCTGCATGCAGGTCGCTATCGTCACAGTTCAATATCAAGGCATACATGCTGCATGCAGTTCAGTGACGTGGTACATTAAGCTGCAGGCAGTTCAGTGATGTGGTATATTATGCTGCGTACAGTTCAGTGACGTGGTATATTATGCTGCATGCAGTTCAGTGACGTGGTATATTATGCTGCATGCAGTTCAGTGACGTGGTATATTATGCTGCATGCAGTTCAGTGACGTGGTATATTATGCTGAATGCAGTTCAATGACGTTGTGTATTAAGCTGCATGCAGTTCAGCGATGTGGTATATTATGCTGCATGCAGTTCAGTGATGTGGTATATTATGCTGCATGCAGTTCAATGACGTGGTATATTAAGCTGCATGCAGTTCAGTGACGTGGTATATTATGCTGCAAGCAGTTCAGTGACGTGGTATATTATGCTGCATGCAGTTCAATGACGTGGTATATTATGCTGCATGCAGTTCAGTGACGTGGTATATTATGCTGCATGCAGTTCAGTGACGTGGTATATTATGCTGCATGCAGTTCAATGACGTGGTATATTATGCTGCATGCAGTTCAGTGACGTGGTATATTATGTAGCATGCTGCTCAGTACCGTTGATGGCAACTGTAATTTTATCCTCAGTTAATTCTCTTGCCTCGGTCAGATGTCTGTAAACGTACGAAATTGGCGTTGCACATGAACAGGAAAAATTGTGATAGCATATATGACGAAGTACAACAGAGAACAGAGACATAGAAGTTGCCATGTAATGCAGAGATTCAGTCGGCTTATCGTGTGTAGACGAAAAGCGACTACAAGTTTGTGTGATAACGATGCTAATAGACGGAATATTACATCCATATCAAATCAAATCGTTAGAAGTTACATACTTGATAACCTCGGGTTTTACCCTGATCACCTCGGGTTTTCGTTACTAGAACAGTTGTGGAAGGGTAGTCAAGGTTAAACCCTTCAGTCGTCAAACTGGAAGCAAACGATAATGCAAGTACTCACTCCATCCATTGTTGTGTCAAAATACTTACATCCCTTAAAGTTTGGACAATGTCTTGAATTGTCAGGAAAATGCGAGTTTAAATCAATCTGAAAATCATTTGTTAACTTTCCAAGACATAATGTCTTATTTCAACAACGTTTCTTGAAAGCACCTGGAGACATCAACGTTGAGTCGTTATAATTTAATATAGATATTGCACATATAGTTCATATAAGCTTACTTGGAGCATCACTGTGTCAATGCAGGTGAACTGATCCCAGCACTGGTCCTCATCATTGCTGGATTCCTCCCCTCCTCCCAGTCCACCATCAAACTCACCCTCCTCATCATGGGGGTGTCCCTCACCGGCTGCGTCTACGCAGGTGGTTACATCGTCAACGTCATCGACATCTCACCACAACATGCTGGCATTGCATTCGGCATTTCTAACACCATCGCATCGGCTTTTGTCCTCTTGGGCAGCGCAACCATTGCCGAAAGTGTTGATGTGGTAAGTTGTGCAACAGTGGTGTGTATGTTTAAATACGTCGATTGTATTTGTGCTGTGTTGCTGCGAGGAAGTCCTTGATATTTCACAAATACCGTTTTCATTTCTGTTTTAGCATCGGTCGGACGACTGGGTCCCTTGATCTAATTAGTCTTTCTGTCCTTTTTTAGCATTCGTTAATGGCACCTTCCGAAGTATAGTTCCTTCTCAAAACGTTTGGTTAAGAACACCTAAAACACAGGAACTATAAAGCTATTGTGAAGAATTATGCAAAACATATATTGCATTTCAAACGCTGTAAATTTGGTTGCATGTACAATAAAAATATCGAAACTGTTTAACTTAAGAGATTGCAGTGACAATTTTTATTGCACGCCAGACTGAGTTATCTTTAACGCCGCTTTGAGTATTGTTTCATGTACATGACGACCTTTCGCTTCATTTTGACCTACCCTGCACCGATGACATTTTGTTATTGTTGTTGTTTGTTTGTTGTTTAACGCCACACATGGCATTTTTCCAGCTAGTGAGTGATTGAATTGATTCTTACCCCGCACTCAGCAATCTTCCAGCTATATGGCGGCGGTTTGTAATTAATTGAGTCTCGATCAAAAGCATGAGCATCGATCTACGCAATTTGGAAACAATGACATGTTTCAGCAAAGTCACCGATCCCGTTAGTCGCCTCTTACGAAAAGCATGGGTTACTGAAGATCAATTCTAACCCGGATCTTCACGGGTCTGAACACCCGATTCCGTTAGTCGCCTCTTACGACAAACATACCTTTCTGAGGACCAATGTCTAACCCTGATCTTTACGGATCAGCTTATTGACACACGAGATGGGAACGAAGGATCAGGGGATCATCGAGGCAGCTCTGAAAATTGCGGCACCACAAACGACTCGGCCACCTCATGTAGCATTATTCTTTCCTGATATAAATAGGTGGACTTCTAGGGAAAACATCAACAACATATTACATTTCTAATTTATCTGGTCCTTACACGACAGAAGGCATAGGTTCTGGAGGAAAACATTCGTTTTCAATTGAAAAAAAGCATTGTGTCTCGCAACCTCATCTGTCTTAGCCAGCAGCAGTCTTGCATTCAGCTTAGGTGAAACTGGCACCACATGTCCGCAATTCAATTATAAGCAAGCTTCCTGTTCGTAACTGAATATTTCATCCCGGCAATATTTTACATTCCAGGAATATCAAGGCAACTGGGAAATCCTCTTCGTTGTCACTGCAGCAGTCTACATCTTCGGCGGTCTCATCTACCTCGTGTTCGGCAGCGGGAGCCTCCAGCACTGGAACACGACGTCGTGTACAACTGACCACGATGAAACACACAGACCCGACGACATTGCCAACTCTGCTGCAACGCCAACCACAGGAGCACAAGGAGGGGAAACATGCGCGTCACTGCCCATCGACTTCATTGATGAAGACGTGCGGACGTGACGGCTGTGCCCACGGAATGCCGCAGCAGATGGTGTTAACTCTTTACTTAGTCTACAAGCATCTACAATAGTCCTCTGTAGTGTCAATAGCACTAGCTGTTTTCTGAGGAAATCGACCTCCCGGAAACGAACGGACTGACTTGATCGTGCTCTGACTGAAAACCCACTAACATCGCTGTATTCATGTACGTGTTCTTGATGACTTTACTGTGTCACAATGTTTAGATAGTCTGAAGTACTGACGAAAATAAACGACATACATGCCTTTATCAATGACAATATCAATATATATTTATGTTTATTGCACATTAAGACAGCTAAACTATTATGGAAGTAAAAACTTAATTCAGTTTTACATTAAAGAATATAGAACGCCCGATCCGAATGACGTATTCCTTTGTGTATTCAAGCACAAAAATTCAATCACTTCTACGGATTCAAATGTGAATGCTACTAAACTCTCTAACTGCCAGATGACCCAGTCGTCACGATATCTGTAATTGTTGTGCAGGGTTGTGTCCCTTGTGAGTGCCAGGAATCTGTGACCGTAGGTGCTGGTTCTCCCTGATGATGTTTCAAGGTTACTCATCAGGATAATCGTTGGTAATGCAAACAACACGGGAGTGCCATCTGTATACTCTAAGCTAACGCTCTCAAGTGCATCTGTATTCACTAAGCTTATGCTAACAATATGGACGCATAATTTGTATTCACTAAGCTAATAAGCTAATGTTAACAACCTGGGGGTGCCATTTGTATACATTAAGCTAATGTTAGCAATATGGGATCATAAGTTTTTTTTCTTTTTTTTCTTTATTCCAGCAAATCAGGTTACAATCAGGGTGTATTCATTGACAAAAGATACAAATGAGTAGCGAATGAGCAACAGTTCCGAGTTCAAACAAACAATGACAATGTTCACATACAAATGGGTGTTAACACAGTAGGCCTTACAAAAAAGGTTAAGTTCCCATTGGCTAACAAATCACTGTCAAAGTGTATGAATAATATTACAGGGTTATGGCAAATACGTTCAAAGCGAATGACACAGACATCATGGAATGTAAGTGAGATTAAAAAATGAAAATAAAAATAAATATAAATAAAAATAAAATAAAAAAATTAAATGGTTAAGGACTATACAGCCAAAGCAAATAGATACAAAGCGTATTATAAGAATGATCAAACCGAGGTATAATGTTTTATGAAAGACATAAAGTCTGGTGACTTCTTCATAAATGTCTGACAGAGGAAGCCATTTTTTTTCAAACGGAGACCCTTTATTATTCTTGCGGGCAATGAATTTTTCAATACAATATATCTGTTTGATAATTTATACAACTGTTTCAACTGAAAGGGTTATACTTTTAAGATTATTTAAGAATACATGTCTTTTACATAACAAGAGTAAGTGGTTAATTAACTTAAATTTGGCTGGGAAACCAAAAAGAATAGCACAAGTGTCCACTTTTATTTCTTCATTGAGAAAAGAGTTCAAGTATAATTCCACACTCAAACAGAATTCTTTGACATGCTCACATTCTAGAAAAACATGTGATAAGCTTTCACTATTAGTTTTACAGAAGGAGCAAATAGCCTCGTTCACTAGTTTCATCTGTTTTAGTTCCTTTTTGGTGTAGATTATGCGATGTAAGAATTTAAATTGGAATTCTAGTAGTTTTACATCCTTGGTGCAATACCTATAATGAAGAAATATATCCTTCCAGGGAGGAAAAACCACATCGAAGTTTTCAACCCATTTGTTACACACAGGTGGAAACTCGTCAATAATGTTATCGTACAAAAATCTAGAACCCTTACCAGGTTTGAGAATGTCTGTTAGCTTATTACTAATCACCACATTTGAATTATTGATACATATTTGGTCATTGATACAATTTTTCCAACTAGGAGAAATACAGCATAATAATTATGATAATCTAAAAACGTGCTGCTAATATCAAAAACATTCTTCAGTTCAGCAAGAGTCAATAATCCACTATTGCTACATATGCCTTTTACAAAATAAATTCCTTTACTATACCATTGTTTAATCAAAAAGGTTTTATGTTTAAAATGGTGATTGAGCCATAAGGGTTGGGACAAAATCTCATTAATATTAACAGAAATTTCTTTTTCTATTCTTACATAGTTTGCCCAAGCCTTCAAAACACTTTGCCAATAAGGGTTCTTACAGTGAATATGAGTATCAACATTGGCACCTAGTGTGAATATTTCATTTATAGGAAAGTAACTTGGATTCTTGAAATTAGGACTTTGAACACATCTTCTTAAATGTGATAACTTCAAGGCATTAATGCATTAATATCAATCATTCTGAGACCGCCTTCTTCATATTTCCTAAGCAAACAGGTTCTCTTTATCTTATCTGGTTTCCCATTCCATAAAACTTGAAAAAAAGTTCTGTTTAGGTCCTTAATAAATGTTTGAGGGGGATTCGGAAGAGAAGAGAAAATATGTACTAAGGTAGAGAGGGCTAAAGTCTTAATCACAGTTACTTTTCCACTTAGAGTTAATGATCTAATTACTTCCAGGAAGCCAAGATTCTATATATTGTTTCCATTCGCTTTTTTTGTATTTATCACCCAAAGGTCTTGCAAATTTGGATTTTGTGTAATGCCAAGGATTTCAAAGTTGCCAGAGTGCCAATTAAGGTCAAGGCATTCACATAACTTGAACCTGTTACCTGTCATAGAGCCAATCCAGATAGCTTTAGTCTTTTCAATGTTCATTTTGAGTCCAGACATTTGATAAAATATATTCATTGTTTCCATAGCTGCCTTCAGACTAGCGCCGTAGCCATCAAGAAAAAATTGAGTATCATCGGCATATTGGCCTAGGTTATACGCTTGGTCATTCAGTAATATACCTTTGATGAATTTATTTTGTCGGATCATATTACCTAGAATTTCTGCTACAAATAAAAATAAATAGGGTGATATTGGGTCACCTTGTCTACAGCCTCGTTCATCTATAAAAGATGAAGACATATGTCCATTTTGTACAATATAAGAGCATTTTGGGATAAGATTGAGATCCATTTTCTAAAGTTTCATCCAAAACAATTTTTTTCCAAAACCAGCATAATAAAATCTTTAGTGACAGTATCAAAGGCTTTTTCAAAATCTATGAGGAGTAACATTCCACGTTTATTAATCTTCTTCAGTTCAAACATATCATCATATAGCAATCTAATGTTATCACTGATACATCTACCTGGTATGAAACCTGTTTGGTTCGTGTGGATAAGATGGGGAAGAGTTTTCTTTATTCTGATAGTTAAACAAGTGCTGATTATTTTATACACCGAGTTCAAGAGAGAAATAGAGTTTTTAAGGTATTTCCTATTTTTATTAGATTTGGGGATACATGTAATAACACCTCTGTTCATTGTAATGGGTAGCAAATTAGTTTCATAAACTGCGTTAATATATCTGAATACCCATATGAAAAAATCTATAGGAAATCCATCTAGGCCTGGACCTTTATTGTTTTTTATAGATTTAACTGCACAGGTTATTTCTTTAAGATCAAATTGTTTACCAGTTCTTCATTGAGCAGCTTATCAAGTTTAGGAACGGTAACAGAGTTCAGAAACTATATTTTCAATATTTATGTCACCGGATGATTTATATAAATTTTCATAATATTTTTTCTGTTCAGTAAGTATTTCACTACCATCTAAGATTCCATCTCCATTGTCTCTAATAAGCGCAGTAATCAATTTATAGGTGTAGTGTCGATTCTCAAGGTGGCAAAAATACCTGGTAGGCTTTTCCCCTTCATCATACCATTGGGTCCTAAAATCTTTATCTTTGACCTGGGTTTCTTTAATGCTTTCCAATTTGAGTTTATCGGCTGACAGAGAGGTTTAAAGCTGTTCATCAATTGCCTGAAAATTACTTCGTATTTCATCCTCCTTTTCCTTAATTCTGGTTTCAAGCTCTAGGGTATCTGCATTTGACTTCTTTTTATGGTAAGTACCATAAGATATGGTTTTCCCTCTAACTTTCATAAGAAAAGTCTCTAAGAAAAGTAGATCTCTAATGCTTAAATCTTTGTCCTCAATGCCTTTCAAATCCTCTAAATTAAGTTTGTTCTTAGCATATTCTTGTTTAGTTTCAAGAAGAATTTTTCTATCTATATCAATATATTCATTAATTCTCAGCAGTGATGTATTGAATTTCCAGTAGCCGTTTCCTCTAGTCTTACATAAAAAGTTGGAAAGAGTTAGTGTGATAGCTGAATGATCAGATTTGTATCCTGGGAGGATGTCAGAGGACACAGTAAGAATTGCAATATCTCTCGAAACTAGGAAATAATCAAGTCTTGATTGTTGTCTAGGATTTTTCTTCCACCAAGTAAATTTCTTGGAAGAGGGATTATGTTCTCTCCAAATATCCACTACGTCATGCATCTCAACATTGTCAAGTACTTCTTTACGGGCTTTAGGATCATTGGTGGATTTATAGTTCTCAAGGTCTACTAATGGATTTTGTACCAGGTTCCAGTCCCCACATATTACCAATGATTGGTTTTCTTCAATGTTATCGAATAAAGTTTTGTAAAGAGTGGGGTTATCACTGTTGGGTCCATAAATATTGGCTAAAGTTAATGTTTATACCATCAATAGTAGTGTCAGCAATTATAAAGTTACCATGATCATCTTTCTTAAATTTATGGATCTGAATTTCAGTATTGTTATTAAATAACATAGCAACACCCCTTGCATTGGACTTAAAAGGTGCAATAATACTTTGAAGGTCCCATTCATTTCTCATAATAGATTCTAACTCATGGGAAATGTGAATATCCTGAAGACAGATTACTGAGCAATTTCTTTTCCGACAGATGTTCACAATTTCTTTCCGTTTCTGTTTTTCGGCAAGGCCCCTACAGTTAACAGAGGCTGTTTTGATATTACTACTCATTAAAATCACGTAATTGGTACATATGGGATCATAAGTTGTATACACTAAGCTATTGTCAACAACCTGGGGAAGTCATCTATATACTCGAAGCTAATGCTAACAATATGTGGCGTGTCATCTGTATACACTTAGCTATTGTTAACAACACGGGGATGTCACCTGTATACTCTAACACTGGAAGTGTATCTGTATACACTTATCTAACACATTCCACATGCGGGTGTCATCTGCATGCACTAAGCTAATGCTGATGTTAGTCCGTATGTGAGCGCATCTTTTATTGGTGCGGATTGTATTTGTGTGGAAACTTGACAAGCTGGATGTTCACTATTCCTCCTCGCATAGATCATAACTAGATGAACACAGTATCAGTTGATGGACTTCCATGCATTCCATGTTGTACATCTCCATATGTCGTATCCATATGAGTAAACACGAACTAACAGATTGAGGAGATGAAAGACTCTTTTCAAAACGCAACCTTATATATATAGACTAAGAGTCAACCATAATACTGTGAATGCCTGCGTTAAACCTCACGTTGTACTACGATGGTATGTAATATTATGAACCATTAACCACTTTGTAAAAGCCTTCTGGTAGTAAAGACAAGCTACGAAACTTTATCGTGAAAAGGTGTATGACTTCATAATAAGTTTGTTACAATAACAAGGAGTATATCTTGTTAACTTCATGACTTAGTAATGACTTTGTAATAAGGACGATCTTGTGTAAAGGCGTGTGACTTATGAATTCCTTTGATGTAAGACAAGTATATGGATGGCAACTTCTTATTTATTGTATAACACAACGTTTCTGGGCCACTTCTTGCCCCTTCTTCAGGTGATCATAGGGGCAAGAAGTGGCCCAGAAGCGTTGTGTTATACATTAAATAAGAAGTTGCCATCCATATACTTATCTTTTATATTCACCAACTTCTGAATACCTCCCAGGAATCGTATTCCTTTGAGTTTGATAACACAAACAATTACTTGTGAAACAGTCCCAGCGACGTGATGGTTCGACAAAAGACTCTCAAGATAAAATGCTCTGTGCACATTTGTTTTATTAAACAAATAAATCACAAATCGACATCGGATTGATTCATACAGAGGCATGAATTTCCTCTGTTGTATGTACAAGGTCGCCGGCTGTCGTGATCTCACTGGTGGCACTGGCCCCGTATGTTGGAAACCACGGTGGGTTGGGCACACCGTATATGTAGCCAGGGAGGGGGAAATGAGCCCTTGTTGTAAGGGGTGGGGAGAGAGATGAGGGCCGAGACCCGGTGCGGCGCCAGGAACTCAGCCAAGACAGACAGATCTTTCCAGAACACGTTCCTAAATACGAAACCAGAGCGGATAGCTCCAACACAGCATCAGACTCGGCCAATCGCGGCAAAGCCTACCAGGGAACAGCTCTAGGTATATATTCATATCAAGGCAATTCACTTATATACAAGGAGTGTTATACGCAGTTCATATCACTTCTAAATTAATAAAAACAGGCAAAACTTCAATTCAGGACAATCACAACCTCTAGTAGGGACCTCGTTCTGGTAGACGTCTTCGCGGCGAGCCTCGTTTTCAGCTGTCAATTACAATGTCCATGGCGATGTCTGTCTGAAGTGAATCTGCCCCCGAGGTGTACACAGAGCGTCACCCGAGGGTCAAGGTTAGGGTGAGGGTCAAGGTGAGGCGTGAAGTGACGGTGAGAACGTTATAGACACATAATGATCTAGTTTTGATCCTCTTCTCTACCCTTCAGTTTGGCTGTGAACCCTTTGTAGTCGAACTGTCCCTTGGCAATGGGGGCCTCCTTCCACGTCTGCTTGATCTGGAAAAGGACAAGACAAGCGTTGTAGACACATCCATGTACTAGATAAAGTGAATGAGTTGAATTTACTTCCGGATTAATCCATTTTTTGTGCACCATGTAAAGGTGGGAGAAACGCTCGGAGTGGGGTAATCATTTACGACGGAGGTTAAAATCCTTCTCACGATGATAGTATAACAAGTACCATAATCAGGGTGATATGTGCATTCTAAGGATCACGGGATCCTGGCAAGCGCAAGGGACGTAGCTCTGCACAAGGAATATCAGCGCATCAGACGAGTGGGCCACAGTTACACGAAAGGTGGAAGAATATGTTTTTTGAAAAGTGTACTACAGTTAAAAAAGGAATAGTGACTCTTAGACTCTTGGATTATTCCACGGCGTTTCGGCTTCATTTGTAGAAGATCTAACAGTAGCACAGGTTGCACACGAAATCGCTTTGGTGAAAAGTATGACGTTAATGTTTATTACACAGACCAAGCATGATTGATGACCAGGTTGTCTGAGGATCCATAATTTGCTGTTCAGAGTAGCGTCCTATAGATATACGACAACCATATGACAGTTGGTCCGAATCTAAGATTCGTCCTGAATATCTTTCTGAATCTGTCTGTGCCAAATAGTGCTCGTGGATTTCACCAAATGGCTAGCTACCAAAACATGCATTCTTTGAACATAAAGCTGACACCTAGTGACTTAACATATATACTACTACGAAGCGATAAAACCTAATTCACTTATACTCGGGTCAAATAGTACAAATGGAGGTGATCTTAATGATTCAACAGGAAATTCCTGGTCACGTGATTGGAACACTAACGGAAGGTCAGGGGATTCTGGTCTTGGCCTCGATCACGAAATGTTTACAGTGAAGGGGTAGAAATTAAATAAATATAGTTTGTGTTATCAATTGTATAGTGTAATAAAGCATAGTTTTGCCCTGGTCTATCCGATTTATAGCAGGGGGACGCTTATGAGACCCTATTTAAAATACTGTCACATTACACTCCATATATGTTAACACCATCTGACGTTGCTGTGACATCATCATCGCTGTACCCTCGGTGATATCATCCCCAATATGACCAGACAATGCCGCTTCTCTGGCACGTCAATCTCCACAGATGATGTAATGCACATCCCTGTTCAAGTCCCCAAAACACGAGTGATTGAATGTATACGGTCAAACCACGCATGATCTTACTGTTATTATACCAGGTGGAACCTAACAGAATAGGATTAAATTAAACACAAGTTTGTCAAAAAGTAGGAATAAAGTGCCGTTCGTGGTGGTTTCAGCTGTTTTCGATGCGTTTATACTGTCGCATGGAATTTCCAATGTGTCAAAGAGCATCAATTACTTATTCGTGTGTATTCGAATTTGAACTTTGCAATGCAAACTGACATATGTTGTCTGAAGGTTTTCTCCATGTTCAAATACTCACTTCATCGGCGGTAAAGTTATCACCAGTGTTTGCTAACAAGTCCTTGATGCTGAAACAAAATGACCAAATCATGAAAGTAAATCCTACTTACTACCATTAGACATGATGATAATACAGAGAACTGTTTGTATGACAAAGCTGAGTTTACAACTGTATATTTACAGAAGTGATGGAAAGTAAAATTAGAAGATAAAAACAATAAAAATCTCTGGAATAACCAGGTTTTGGAATAACGACTTAATATGATCGAGATCAGAAGTCCGGTGTGTAGGGGTATACATCTTAATTAGTTTTGTTTTATGTTTGTTTGTTGTTCAACACTGCACTCAGCAATATTCCAGCTATACGGCGGTCGGTATATAATCGAGTCTGGACCAGACAATCCAGTGATGAACATATCGAGCTACGTAAATGGGATACGCTGATATATGTCATCCAAGTCAGCGAGCCTGACCACCCGATCCCGTTAGTCGCCTCTTACGACCAGCATGGGTTACTGAAGTCAATTCTAACCTGGACCTTCATGTGTCACATCCTTATTAACATCACAGTGTGAAACAAGGTATAAAGGTGATGAACAAGGCGGTGTTAACTGTCGCCGACGTTACGTACTATTCCTCTGCCAGCGTTCCCTTGCCCTCATCGTCGAACATAGCGAAAGCGTTCTTAATGGTCTCCTCGCCGTCAGTTCCTGGAAGGAGAAGAGAAGAAGTTGTGGTGAAGGACATTAACTGGACGATAACCTCACTATCAAGGGTGAAAGATTTTAATTTCAAGACGTAACAAATATTCTCGAATTCTTGCAGCTGACAACAGAAATGGATTTTACACCTTGTACCCAGGTGGGGAATCGAACCCGAGTAATAGCGTTATCCAGTAGGCCATCTCAGCTTCTCGGCACCAGAACCCTTACACAGCAATAAGGACAATCCGGATAGACACTGGCGTGGAGTAAACATCATTACCTTTCAGGGTCTGAGAAATGGATGTTACTACATAAGGTGTTGTTATTTACGCAGCTGGTAATAAGTTAGCGGGTTATCCTAATGTTGTCGGAAAGTCCAAAGTCGCACAAGTAATAAACATACTTCTCCGTGGTACTAGAAAATGTGCGTACACAGACGGGCGATTCCGGGATGCGATGCTATCAGTCAGTTAACGGTTCTTAAGAGTCTCAGATCTATACAGCACAATTGGCAGAGACCACTGAGTTAACAGACCGGACCACGTGGGAGTCGTCCGTTATAGAACCGAACTGGGACTTAGCACAACTCTTTAACCACAGTAAACCCGTTGTATGTTAATGATCAGATGATAGTGAATAACTCGATGCTTTGATTCTTTTGAACACACAAGAAAGAACGTTTTGTAGTGTGAATGTCCTACGTGCTCAATGAAACCCAACAAGGTTTTGTTTCTTGTTGAGATTAGGAATATTCCAACGACATGTAAATAAACAAGACTGCCCCTCACGAGCCGGTGGTTGATATCATGAAGATATGTCGGGGTGTGAGGACTCGAACACTGTCACCTAGTCTGACCTCCGACCTATTACACAGATACTGGTTACTGGGAGCTATTCTACCCTGTACAGCCCGCACGTATATATATTTGCAACATAATTTTGATGTTTGGGAATTTGAATCAACTGATTTCTAAATTTGATAATGCACAATGTATACATATATAATATGAGATGAGAACTAGAAATTTAGAAGAAACATATTTGGTAAGTGACTTAATACATGACTTAATATTTACAAAATATGAAGATAATAAAGCGTTTATCATAAAATTACTCGTAAAGTTGTTTTTCCGATGCATTAGCAATATTATACAACACCTGGGGCACTGATAACATGTTCATAGCCTGCTCCCCTGTCAACATCAAGGAATGTGTATCAAGAGAACGCATTGAAGACACCGCCACCATAACTCTCCCTCACAAGAGGCTAAACTACATTCTCTTGTACATGTATTAATAGACGTATAATTATATACATTCAGAATCACTGGTAACTGTGATTATATGACGGTAATGAATCAGGATAATAACTATATGAATTACGTGGTTTAACCGTTATACAAAACAAAACTCACGTAAAAACAGATTATGATGCCGTTGTTGCCCGTCGAATGTTTTAATGGGTATATTGGGTACATACATAAAAGTCACCGAAATTGTATTTTTAATTTTGTTAATATGTTTCATTTTATTTGAGAAAATTCAACATATTGAAATCCAGTGCTGTCCGACTCCTACCCACACTAGTACATTTAAAACCCTCACTGTGAATTGTGTGTCAGTGAAAGTCACGATACGATAGAAAAGAACATCATCATATTTAATTTTGCCTTTGATTATATAGTCAACTCACCTCCCATCTTCTCGCCGAACAGGTTAAGGAAGCTTGTGAAGTTAAGTGGACCAGAGGACTCCTTAAGCATAGACTCTAACTCGCTGTCTGGGGGGATTCTGCCTGATAACACAATAGCAGACAACATCAGATAACTCTGTAACATTGTAATACATGGGCAATATAGAATGTGCTTCAGTGAAATATAGATGTAAAACATACCTAACTGACGGGACTGGTGTAGTCTGTCGGTATGAAGATTAACATTAAAACGTGCAGCTGATGAAACTAAAACCATGCAGAATATCGATAAATAGATTATTTTCAACATCAAACTGGCTCTAAGGGCGGGACAGTAATGAGGCTTTACATTAAATGTATCATAATGCAACATGTACTACAAGCAATTGCCTTACGGGCATTTCCGGCTTCGGTATAGTATGCAGTATTTTAATAATGATAACTTACAGATAAATTTCACAGAAAGATATCAACATTTCATGGGGTTTGAGGTTATTAAAACCCTTTGATTATTGGACTGATATAACGACGTGCATGCGTGTGTGTGTGCGTGTGTGCGCGCACGTGCGTGCGTGCTAGTGTGTGCATGTGCGAGTGTTTGTTGCTTCTGTACTTGTCAAGACTGATGTCTGTTTGTATAACGTTAGGCAACTGAGGCAGCAAGCTGTAGTGTAACATGTATACCCCACACATTCTAACAATTCCGAGGTGATCATCTTGTTTAATAACTTTTTATACAGATGCCCAGACAGAGTAACAGCTGCTATACTGTTTTATAGTGTTTATATATGACGCGACCGGGGATCAAATCGCGGTCGTTGTGTTTTCCAATATACAATCTATCAACTAGACTACAGGGACGGTATACCCTCTGTTCGACTTTCACATTAAACATTCAGTCAACAATGTAAGTAGGAATCAGACTAATCTCAAGAAGCTGTAGACATGCGAAAATAGAGGCAGGTAATAAATATATAATTCCGTTCCTCATGGAAATATTGGCCTGGTTGTATTTGGCGTGGGAATACGTTCTTTATAAAAGCCTCTAATGTCTCGCTGAGATATGTTTGTTAAAAATATGATTGGTTTTGGGGAAATATGGCTGCGGTTGTCTGGGGCAACGATGAAATCATTTTACTTTGTATGTCGGGAGATGAAAGCTCTCAGCGTCCGGATGTTGTTTGAGTAGACATCTCGCACAGTATTACGTATGTGCATGGTCACATATTACCAGCGACGTTATGGGAACCTTTCGCAAACAGATCTAATTTCTCCCTCTGAGTCAAATTGTAGCCAATTGTAATTGACTGAAGAGATTTCCGCCGAATTTCAAAATGATTAGTTTCATGTCGCTGCTGACTGGTACGAAAGACAAATCCTATTTACAACAACTACAGAATAGTGCCTTTACAGCATCGTCATCAGAAACGGGTCCAATGTAAGACGTACATTTCATAGGAGCTTGCCGCTAGTACAACCTGAACGTGAATACGCTGAGCAGAAGTGACAGTACGTTATTAAGTCAGAAAGTACAATATGGTCGTCTATGCCTCGATTTCATTTATTAGGGCGGAAGTCTTTTGCGTTCCTGAACAAATCCTGTCACTAGTCACGAAATAATCAATTGAATAAGAAATTAGAGTTATCTCCCCTACAACATGTGCCTGTCCTGTGTAAGATAAAATGTTACGGTCATGTCACGATGTAAAAGACTCATTTGTATATGCACTAAAACGGGAATTGTCTGGTCTACATTTTCTCGTCTATCGAAACTGAAATTGTTGAATTTGTATATCTTTAATAAGATTCTGTTATGTAAAGAATCTCGTCGACATTAAAATGAAAAAGACAAAGTGTAAAATAAAATACAATTCGTCTTCAGTAATGACTAATTGTACATTTATCAATAAGTTTGGTTGTCGCTCACCATGTATACGTGTTCACAACGTAAAATCTCGGACTGGGTGAAAGTGTATTCCTACTCAACACGAAGTCAATATAACATATAACAAACATCATTCAAGTATCGCTCGCATATGATTAATCCTACCATGTTAAAACAAGTGCAACCATTTCCTCACAAATGCCCCAAATGCACAGTAAAATGCGTGCGACCTCGAACAGAAGGTGAAACTCACCCAAGCTGGAGTAGATTTCTTTGAGGTCGTTGATGCAGATAACGCCGTCCCTGTTGGCGTCGATCAGCGTAAAAGCCTGAACAGTAAATAAATATTACAGCTACGTGTCGGGGTGAGAGGTGAAATTCCTCAGGCAAATGAGGAAAGTGTGGCTAACGTTCAGATATTTGTATAAGAACGAACTGTCAGGTCAGTAAAGAATAAACTGGTATCAAACGCCCATTTATTATTGACATGTGCCTCATATATTGGTCATTTACATTAAGCTTCGAGAGGAATAAATGTGAAGAAAAGACTACACCCCGAACTACTTTGGATAAGGGAAGCTACGTTGAAGCACAATCACGGGAAGAGCGTCATATCCCTTTGTATATTGGCGTTCCAAACAATGATGTTTTCGGATAGTATGTTACCGGATTATACGGTCCATTCTTTCGTCCAAATATTTGATAACCAAAAGGATATAAGTCAACGATTTATTTTACATATCAGCTTCTTTATTTATCAACACAACGTTTCGGATTTCACCTGAAGGAGGAATAAGAAGTAACTCCAATAAGTGGATGAAGAAGGAATAAGAAGTAACTCCAAGACGTCGTGTTAACAAATAAAGAAGATAATATAAACCAAAATCGTTGTTCAAAGAACACAGTATGATAAAAATGACAAAGCTATTTTGTATTAATAGATCATTTTGAATAAAAAATATTCGTATAAATTTATGGCCTTTGAAAATAATTAGTAAAAGTACGGTACAACCATTGGTTCAAACGTATGGAAAAACCAAGGGATTAGAAGCGCATACCCTAATACAAAACTATTCTTTAAGCAAAATTAAACGGGTTTGTATCAATATGTATGTTATGTTGAAAACTATATTTGTATTCCGTATGAAGAAGTATGTGTATAATCCAGAGGAATCGATGGCTGCTATTCCATAGATGCACGAGTTTACATCCAAACGTAAATCCGACAAAGAATAGAAGTACAACACAGAGTGGCGTTGTATCCATAGAGTCGTAGATAATCGTAGATAATTCAGTATATACATCAATCCACTTTTGACTCACTTCTTTGAACTCCTGCATCTGGTTGGGCTTGAAAAACTTTGCCATTTTGGTTGAGTCTGAAAGAAATGTTGAAATTTGTCAGTCATATTCTTACCAAGTGTCTCTCTAGTTACGTTAAGCGCCCTAAAAAGGCAACAACCTTTAGCTTGGCCTGGTGGCAAAACAGTTGGTCGAAACCGCAACATTTACATCACTACTGATCTCACAAATGTTACTTAATTGTTTCACCTTACAGACAGAATACTTTCAGAAAATATGAAACAATTTGTTTTCAAAACTGAAGTATCAATTCAGCACTAAACATTTATCCATGTTTGTAAATAATTTGAAATAATTGTAAACATAAACACAGGTTCCTTAGTTTAAACTGGCATTACCCTGTTGCCGTTCGAGAGGTGCCCTCAATTCACAACCGCAAGATACAATTCCACCAAAGCAAATAACACATCGCACGAAATACCTTTTCTAACATGCGCATGCGCAAAGCAAGATCACACACGCGTGTCTCACGTCATAGAAGCTGCACGTGCATATTTAGATATGCCCGTCACAAGCCTTTTACAGGAGGCCGCTCCGCGAAGCGACCGAGGGGAGGCGCACATACAAGAACTTCTGATGGGCTGGGCTGGGCTGGGTTACATTGGATTAGAGTGTATGGAGAGCAAGCAATGTTTAACGTTTCGATCTTCTTTTCACAAACTAGAAAGTTACAATCTCCATTTTATTGCAGTATAATATTTCACCGTAACTTGTAAAACTGTTTTCAAAAATGTGGATGAAGCTAAGCGATGATTCAAAGAAATGAAAGTAGCAAGGTTGCAGAAGTATAACTAGTAGGAATGTTATAAAACACACATATCTGAACACCGTTTCTGTTTTTCTTTCAAATATTGTTACCGATATTCGTGACATCATCAACTGCAGAAGTAGTAACAGGGTTAGTGTTAGCTAAACAGTCGGGCTAAAGGAACTATATAACCATGTGTGATAGTGACTACAATGAAGAATGGTTATTCAATGGTGACGTATGTGATACGGATGTCAGAGGCTGGTGTTTTGGACGTTGAGGTTTTTTTGTTTACGCGAATATGTTCAGCCTAGTAACGTTTTGACAACATGTGTATTTTTTAGGCAGAGGTATTTTACAAGTGTATACTTTCTGTTGCTAATCATTTCAGTAAATATGTAAATATGAACATAAAACTATGAAAAGGTTTCTACAAAGTTACAGTCTTTGTATAGTCCTTATAGGAAAGGGAACCTTGCTCGAACACCGCTTGTGTTTAGGTACCAGCTGAAGACCTTTCAAGGCACTTTACATCATGTTTGGAATTGGAGTTTATATCGGTAATATATTCTCAGAAAAATGCAATGTCTCTGTGAAATGAAGACTTCTGTTAATGTTCATGGCAATTAGAAAGTGTTGTAGGTTCATAAGAGTTAACCCAGCGCTGTCTATGTGGTGTCAGGCCATGTCTTTACTTGTTTTCAGATCATGGTTATTTCGATGAAAATCGCATTTTAAGAACATAACGCTTCCAGTGTTGCCAGCGAAACCAATTACTTTAAACTAAGCACCTGACCTGACAGCTTATAAAACATCCGAATATCGTCCTAAAACATCCTACACAAACCCCAGGTGACATACACGGGGCTCATTTGAGTCACTCTAATTATCTGTATAGCGTTACCAATTACTGATGCCTTTAACGCATTTCAAGCAGGGAGATTTGTTGAGGCTAATGGAAATGTGATCCCATCACGTTTCTTATTCCTTATTACTTGCCTGATAACCGTCGATTAGAACGGAGCTGTTTGGTTTGATTCTGTGCACGAATTATTCACAAAACTGAAATATCCATTTGCTTGAAGAAGTTGTCTCCCTTCCACGATAAACCACACATCTTTCGATGTCTCGTTACATATAAAACCTTTTAGATATTAATTTTTTGTTTCTTTGAAAAGCATGTTACATTATTACTATTTTTACTACAATATATAACATTGGTTCATGTTAATAATCAATGCCACTCGATTATCATTTATTCCACGACCTACAGCAGAGTTCTCATATCTCGCTGAGAGCACGCGAGTCCAGTATTACGGTAGGCAGGATCTTGAAATCGAGCCAAGTCACAGATAAGCGTCCCCCGTCCCCCTTCCTCATATGGCCTCCCCATGCACAACACCCCCGGGGGATAGAGTTACACTGCCGCGAGACAACGGCATCGGTGCAACTACTGATCTGTGTAACCGGTGCACCGTTTGTAAGAAAGTAATTAATTCTCCTGGCGTTGCCGTAATGTTGGAACCCCAGTTTTGCTGAATAGACTGGATACAAATGTGCCGACAAATGAATTTTGTCCGTTTCGTTTATGATGATTTGTTCATATATATTCGTTAGTTACAGTAATTCATTGCTTGGTTTATTCCTGTATGCGGAAGGAGTTTTCTTTCTCAGCTTGTTACATTATCTCGATTGAAATAATTCCAACCGTTACGACAAAGCCTCCGTTTTCACACATCTTTACATTATTGTTTAAAAAGAAATATGATTCTATGTTACGTTTTTCCTAATTATTTAGAATATACCTTTGTATTTGGTAATGATAAAAGGTGTTATGAAATGATAAAATGTTACTTATGCAAGAAAAACACCTATTTTTCCTATTTGCCGTAAACCACATAAATCATATCTGTAAAATATCAGAGTGATTATCGTATTTATTTCTCACTTTCCGCAAAGTTTGTGAAACGAAATCCTCATCTTAACTTGGACAGAAATCAAACAATGGGTCAAACTATTGCTTTTGTTTCGAATTCCTATAACCAAACTCCGATGGGCAACAACGCAACATGTTTACTCATATATTACATTATTTAAGAGGCGAGTGGCTCTTCCATAAGGTTTATCCCATGGTGCTGGGTTCTGGCACACAGCAAATGAAGACGCCGTCTGTTTGGAGCTGATTAGACATCCCACTGCTATCTCCCCTCGTGTGTTAAATTACTTTTGGTTCCCTTAACGACCGCTGATGTTTGCTTCTACCGACAAACAGCACAGTACTGTGGCTTAACATGCATTTCATACACACGATGTTACAGAAACAAACCTGAAACCTGGACATGTTGGAGTGAGTTGTTGAAGTCTTGTGTTAGTTGAAGTGATGGTTATTGGCTTTGGGGGCTTTCGCAATCCATTTGGAAGTTAAAATTTAATTAACATAAAAGATACTATCAGTCGTATCTGATTAACTTGTCTTAAAGTTAAGAACCGTGAGTCGTTAAACGACCGGTGTTAGAAAAAAGCCAGTAAATTCTTTTGTAAATGGGTCTCTAGATAAAGTTTGCTTGCTGATTAAAGAATCATTTGAATAAAAACGCAAAGCAATAAAAGAAAACAACTGATACTTTTTTCAGAAAGCATGAGTATTAGGATGCGGTTGAAGGTTAAATAAAATGTTGAAGGTCAAACCGGGCAAATCTTCAGAAACTTCATTTTGCGGGCTTTTTGAATTTTTGAAAAATTCAACAACAACGAAACACAACCAATGTGGTTTTGACTTGAAAGATGAAGAACAAATGTCAACTGAAGGAAAAATCAGTTCCAGTACTACAAGGTCTCTTCTGGGATGCTGAGTCTGCAAAACGTGAAAGGAAGGTGTGAAAATGGTAAATTGGATTAATAATGTAGGGAAAACGGGTTTGGAGTTGCACACGGGTTTAGGGTTTGAGTTTTCAAACAAGGGTTGAGGTTGAATGACAATTTTTACCTGCCGCTTTCCGATTCTCAAGATGCTAAGGGGGGAAGCTTGTCCTATAGACGAGGCAACAGTATCCGCAGAGAGAGAGACTGACTATCCACTCTGTCTCGGCTCTTATATACGGGACATGCGCGCATACCGTCACAGAAAAAACCCACAGGCTGCTTAACTTGCAGGGACATCACGAATTGCAGGAATCTGGCTGTCCAAAGTGCATTAGACCCCTGCAGAGCACATGTCCACGCTCATGGGGTGTGGGCAGTCATGTGGAACGTGCGGCATTCTTTTGATTACAGTTTAATAATTGTTATGCAAAGGTAGTGACGTTCATTGGTATAGTTAGCAGTAGCAGAAACAGGACGGTGCCAAGCAGTGGGGGTTGGTAAAGGAGGTATCACGTTTCTCCCAGAAACGGTCTGCAGGTAGAAAGCGTGTTATGTGACCCATGACTGGGTGTTATTGAAAAGGGGATGCAAATAGATGGCAATTATGGCAGATATGCTGTTTCGGGGCTGGTGAACGTGGTCGCTTGGCCCTGGTGATTCTTAAAGTACAAGAAGAAATTTGGTGTGATGTTATACGTGGAAAACGTGTGGGATGAGCATAACACACTATGATACATGAACATATGTTTGTCAAATTATCGTGAAGTATGACCTGAGTTAGTTTCGATGAGATGAAGATATTTTGGTATGTCTTTGGAAGTCGGTGCCTTAATCTGAGAGGTTTTGAAGGAATGCTTTATACTGCGTTTCTTGTTACTAGTTGCTCCAACTATTGGCAGTTGTATGTATTCTTTATTTTTACTTTCGCTTTCGAAATATGAAGCTATATATAACTATGCCGGTTTTTCAACTGTCTGTGAAATGTGGCGTTGGGTTTATGCAATGGCGCGAGGAAATAGTACTTTAGACTTCGGAAGTGAGTCTTTTTATCAAGGTTTGCAATTGTTTAGGAGAAGATATAGCCATGTTAGCAGTTATATCTTGGTTTCTTAATGAGCATATTGTCCTGGAGTTGACAGGCTATTGGATACTATTCATATATTCGCTATAATGTTTATAAGAAATGATGTTTTCTAGTAATTCATCGTATAAATACTTGGGTTAAATATTGAAGTGAGTGAGTGCAAGCCGCATTTACCAGTATTTCGGGTTTTAATAGTTTCTTTGTTTGTTGTTTTAACGCCGCACTCATCAATATTCCGTAATCAGAAATATTGTAAATAATCAAGTCTGGACCAGACAATCCAGTGATCAACAGCCTGAGCATCGATCTACGCAACTGAGATACGGTGACTTGTTTCAACTAAGTCAGCGAGCCTGACCACCCGATCCCGTTAGTCGCCTCGAACAACAAGCATGGGTTACTGAAGATCAATTCTAACCCTGATCACCACGGTTCTCGGGTTTTAATAGAAGTCAGCAATGTTTACATTATATGAGTATGAATGAAAACCATTTCATTTAACAACCATTTCTACAAAATGTACAATTGAAAATCGTTAAATATCAATTCGAAGGTGATGTCAGTTCATGATGAAGGTATCTGTAAGTCAGTTTGTCATGCATCATTTGGAAGGCTCCAAACATCATGTATCGGTCGTAAGAAGGGACCATATGATTGGACGGTTGCCTGGCGACTGGTTGTCAGCTTACCCCAAGCGCTACTGAT